TTTCTTTATTTTTACTATTTTCTACATTGTAGAATAATAGTGAAGACATCAACTCTATGAAATAACACATGGAATCATGTAGTAACCAGAAAAGTGTTAAACAAATCAAAATATATTTTATATTTGAAATTCTTCAAATAGCCACCCTTTGCCTTGATGACAGCTTTGCACACACTTGGCATTCTCTCAACCAGCTTCACCTGGAATGCTTTTCCAACAGTCTTGAAGGAGTTCCCACATGCTTAGCACTTGTTGGCTGCTTTTCCTTCACTCTGCCGTCCGACTCATCTTAAACCATCTCAATTGGGTTGAGGTCAGGGGATTGTGGAGGCCAGGTCATCTGATGCAGCACTCCATCACTTGCCTTCTTGGTAAAATAGCCTTTACACAGCCTGGAGGTGTGCTGGGTCATTGTCCTGTTGAAAAACAAATGATAGTCCGACTAAGCCCAAACCAGATGGGATGGCGTATCGCTGCAGAATGCTGCGGTAGACATGCTGGTTAAGTGTGCCTTGAATTCTAAATAAATCATAGACGGTGTCACCAGAAAAACAGCCCCACACCATAACACCTCCATGCTTTACGGTGGGAACTACACATGCAGAGATCATCCGTTCACCAACACCGCGTCTCACAAAGACACGGCGGTTGGAACAAAAAATCTCCAATTTGGACTCCAGACCAAAGGACACATTTCCACCGGTCTAATGTCCATTGCTTGTGTTTCTTGGCCCAAGCAGGTCTCTTCTTCTTATTGGTGTTCTTTAGTAGTGGTTTCTTTGCAGCAATTTGACCATGAAGGCCTGATTCACACAGTCCCCTCTGAACAGTTGATGTTGAGATGTGTCTGTGACTTGAACTCTGAAGCATTTATTTGGCCTGCAATTTCTGAGGCTGGTAACTCTAATGAACTTATCCTCTGCAGCAGAGCTAACTCTGGGTCTTTCATTTCTGTGGTGGTCCTCATGAGAGCCAGTTTCATCATAGCGCTTGATGGTTTTGCGACTGAAATTTTCCGTTTTTACTGACCTTCATGTCTTAAAGTAATGATGGACTGTCGTTTCTCTTTTCTTATTTGAGCTGTTCTTGCCATAATATGGTCTTGGTCTTTTAACAAATAGGGCTATCTTCTGTATACACCTTGTCACAACATAACTGATTGGCTCAAACGCATTAAGAAGGAAAGAAATTCCATAAATTAACTTTTAAGAAGGCACACCTGTTAATTGACAATCATTCCAGGTGACTACCTCATGAAGCTGGTTGAGAGAATGCCAAGAGTGTGCAAAGCTGTCATCAAGGCAAAGGGTGGCTATTTGAAGAATCTCAAATATATTTAACACTTTTCTGGTTACTACATGATTCCATGTGTTATTTCATAGTGTTGATGTCTTCACTATTATTCTACAGTGTAGAAAATAGTAAAAATAAAGAAAAACCCTTGAATGAGTAGGTGTGTCCAAACTTTTGACTGGTAGTGTATGTCAAACAAAAACCAATGATTGCAAAAATAAACAAACCATACAACTACTTTTAACAATTTCCACAGAAAATTTGACAAAAACACATTTACTTGAAGAACAGTGCAGATGCAAAGTTTGGTAAGAGAATGGCGGCACAAACAGCACACATCGTCATTCTGTTACCAAACTTTGCATCTGCACTGTTTTTCAAATGTGTTTTTGTCAAAATTTCTGTGGAAATTGTTATAAGTAGTCCTTTTGCATAGAGTTGTATGGTTTGTTTAAATTTGCAATCATTGGTTTTTGTTTGACATACATGTGTATACATTGTAGGTGTGCATAGCTTTATGATGTCACAGCATGAAAAGATAGTAAAACGTGACATTGTATTGATAATGCTCTGCCATTTAACCATGTGATCATCCCATGCTAGTCATACAGTAGCTAGGCCTTTGTGAATAGTGAAGCGTAACGTTATGATAACGTTTTCTTGCCTTGCCGTTAGGGCTGGGAATTGCCAGGGACCTCACGATATTATATTATCACGATACCTAGGTGCCAATACGATATGTATTGCGATTTGATACTGTGATTTTATTGCGATTCGATGTTCCAAACATATTGCTCACCATGTCTGCTGCAGAGGGACAAGAGATAGCCATGAGTTTTGATCAGTCATAGAAATAAGTGCTAAAAACAAATTGGCTCCCTATTTAAAAAGAAGATGGAGAACAAGCTATGAAGGAAAAATACTGGAGTTTTGGTGCAGGTACAGCCAACTAGCGCAAAAAATAATATAGTGATATTGTCAAAATGGTATGATACCATATATCGTCAAAAATAATATTCCAATAAGTAACTGTATCGATTTCTTCCCCCATCACTACCTGCCATCCAACATTTATGTTGCTTGGCTATTTCTCGTTCTGTCCCCATCATCATAAAAGGGCCATCCTGTGCTTTTTCTAAATGGTGTATTAGGAGTAGCTTTGCTGGTTTTCGTCTGCTTGAAAGGCCTTCTCATTCTGCCCATTTGTTGTGGTTTTTCTACTTATGGCTCAGACTGTAGAGAGCTCCTGAAACAGAGTATCAGCTTTATTATTGTTGCCCACCATCACCTCCCAACCCCCAAAGGACCACTTTATTACAGTTGAGCCTCAAACTCCCCTCTGTGTATGTGTATAGGTATTGGTATGTGTATACGTGTGTCTGCCAACTTTCTCTTTTATCATGGTATTTCAGTTTATCCGTTCACTACTGTCATAGAATAGCTCAGATCAGGGTGGACTTTAGCTGCCGTTTCTTGAAGAGGTTCTTAACCAAGAGACCCAGTTAAGCTTAATAGAATTCAAAATAATAATAACAAATATATATTTGCTTATAGGTCTAAATAATTATGTATGGTGTAAATGCTTTGTTTTAAGTTTCTGTGTGGCAGAGGTGAAGTGAATAGCTTCACTCCCACCACAGCCTTTCATGGCTTTAATCCAGCTAATAAATCAAGTGTAGACCTCACATGCCAGGACTTTGGCTTAACTAAGGTGGCATTTTTCCTTCTTTTCCAAACCGTTTAATCTCCCTCAGATCGGGCCTTCTGATTGTGTGTGGGTGTATGTGTGTGTTCGTAACAGCTTACAGAAGCCGGTCAGGTAGCCTAGCGGTTAAGAGCGTTAGGCCATTAACCGAAAGGTCTGCCCTTGAGCAAGGCAGTTAACCCCCAGCAACAACTGCTCCCCGGGCGCCGATGACGTGGACATCGATTAAGGCAGCCCCCCGCACCTCTCTGATTCAGAGGGGTTGGGTTAAATGCGGAAGACACATTTAGGTTGAATGCATTGTTGTGCAACTGACTACATATCCCCCCCTTTCCCTTTGCCTTATTAAGTGGGTATTATTGCTGCCTGCCTCCTGCCTGTATCCCCCGTAGTGTTGCCTTTGTGTTATTACCAAAGTGATAATGGAACAGCTTCATTAATCTACTGCTGGTTCCCACAGAGACCGCCCAGGAATAACACAGTTCTCGGTTTGTGTGTGTGTGTAGGGGAAACTTATTTAGTTGCGGATAAAATAGCTTGTTTAAATACAGACATAAAACATATCACAAAAATTGCTTTCGCATATTCAATAATTGTGTTGTAACCTGTACAGTATGAAGGCCCCAGAATGTAGAGCTAGGTAACAGATTAATAATAATAATACTGCTGTGAATTAAATGTAGGATATCACTCGGATGCATAATTCCCACTCAGACTATCTCACCCCGCGCTAGCCTGCTTTGTCCTGCTTGCTAAGGTCCATATCGCAAGCTAACCACCTCTGTGCTTCAGCTCCTGATAGTGTGTGTGATTGCAGGCCAGCAGGACCATGGTCGGGACCGCGGGCCGGCGCTTGTTTCCTCTCCTACTCCAGCGGAGTGGTGATCCAAAAGGCCTCGGGAATGTGGAAAGATGAAAGGCCTCAGGAACCTGGGTGCTAAACAGCCATTGTTCTCTTGAGAGCTCGATGAAACAGAGAGGGATATCTGGCCATGCCGCCTGCTGCGGAGATAGGTCCTGGCACCATGTAGAATAAATCAATCTTCATCACTCTTTAATGGTTGCCAGACAATATTAAAGTGGCAGATACGGGACACTCCTCAAAATTATTTAGTTAAGTTTCTTTTGTTTGTTTTTCTAATAAGGTTACATAACAGGGTTCAGTCGTCTCTGGCTGCGCTCACCATCTCTCCCCGATTCGCCTTATCACACACGACCTGTCAGTCAGTGCCCAGTGCATTAGTGATCAAATGGAGGGGTGTTTTTACGCAGCGCAGGGCACCAGTTGGTGGCCATTATGTGAACATTTTTCATTCAGGCTCATTGCTCTGTCATTGAGTAGTACCATAGGGTAGGACAGCAGGAGTCTAACTAAACAAACCAGGCCCTTACTGTATCATGGACGTCTGGGAACCAACTTGATGCCCGCCCTGTTTCTGCTCCATCCACTGACTGTGATACAGAGTTAATGGGGATTGCAGTGAGTGAGTGACTGGATGTGAGTGCAGGCTTAGAGTGCCCTAGTGTGGATGCTGTCAGTGTCATTAGTCAGAAAGCTGATGAGTGACTACTGCAAGTTAATGGTAGTACTGTAGTAAGAGTTTTGACTGTAGGCCTGGTGCTAAGTGTAGGCCTGGTGCTACGTGATTATATAGTTGTCCATCTATGAGATGGTGAGACAGCCTGGATGCCAGTCTACTGCTTACAACATTTTTACATTTTAGTCATTTAGCAGACGCTCTTATCCAGAGCGACTTACAGTTAGTGAGTGCATACATTTTCATATTGGCCCCCCGTGGGAAACGAACCCACAACCCTGGCGTTGCAAGCGCCATGCTCTACCAACTGAGCTACAGGGGACTTAATGCTACATTGTTGCCATTCCAACAAGACAACAAGTTGAGTAAAGCAGAAACAGACTAGCACCCAGGTTTATGTTACAGTGTGACTTATCTAATGTCTTGTTTCTGGTTGCAGGTTTAGGTGACCAGCAACAGTGACCATGTCTCAGTCTGGAGAGAAAGGGAAGGCGAGTGTGCCCTTACCACTTCAGTACACACACACACACACACACACACACACACACACACACACACACACACACACACACACATACACACAGAGCACACACCCTAGCCCAGACACTCAGAGAGGACATCCTGTATAAACGCTGCCGTTTCATCGGCAGCCTTATTGCTTTTGGGATTTTCTTCTCAATTTAATCTCAATTAGAACAAGCCATTTGGCACACACATCTCCTAAACACTGGAGATGAAGAATGTCAGGGCGGAGAGAGGGAGGGAAAGAAACTATTCAAGACCCCTCTTCCAATGCTAATCCTATTGAGTACATTACCTCTATAACCATGTGTTTGTGTTTGTCAGTTCCCTGAGGCGGCGGGATATGTGGGTTTTGCCAACCTGCCCAACCAGGTACACAGGAAGTCTGTGAAGAAGGGATTTGAGTTCACCCTCATGGTCGTTGGTGAGTATGACTTATTATACAACTATTTTGATTCAATTCAAGAGAAGCTTACCTACACCTACACAGTAGTTATTTTGTGCCAGAATGCTGTCTAGTTGAGGGCTGAGTCCCAAATGGCACCCTATTCCCTACAGTGGGGAGAACAAGTATTTGATACACTGCCGATTTTACAGGTTTTCCTACTTACAAAGCATGTAGAGGTCTGTAATTTTTATCATAGGTACACTTCAACTGTGAGAGACGGAATCTAAAACAAAAATCCAGAAAATCACATTGTATGATTTTTAAGTAATTAATTTGCATTTTATTGCATGACATAAGTATTTGATACATCAGAAAAACAGAACTTAATATTTGGGACAGAAAACTTTGTTTGCAATTACAGAGATCATACATTTCCTGTAGGTCTTGACCAGGTTTGCACACACTGCAGCAGGTATTTTGGCACACTCCTCCATACAGACCTTCTCCAGATCCTTCAGGTTTCGGGGCTGTCGCTGGGCAATACGGACTTTCAAGATTTTCTATTGGGTTCAGGTCTGGAGACTGGCTAGGCCACTCCAGGACCTTGAGATGCTTCTTACAGAGCCACTCCTTAGTTGCCCTGGCTGTGTGTTTCGGGTCGTTGTCATGCTGGAAGACCCAGCCACAACCCATCTTCAATGCTCTTACTGAGGGAAGGAGGTTGTTGGCCAAGATCTCGCGATACATGGCCCCATCCATCCTCCCCTCAATACGGTGCAGTCGTCCTGTCCCCTTTGCAGAAAAGCATCCCCAAAGAATGATGTTTCCACCTCCATGCTTCACGGTTGGGATGGTGTTCTTGGGGTTGTACTCATCCTTCTTCTTCCTCCAAACACGGCGAGTGGAGTTTAGACCAAAAAGCTATATTTTTGTCTCATCAGACCACATGACCTTCTCCCATTCCTCCTCTGGATCATCCAGATGGTCATTGGCAAACTTCAGACGGGCCTGGACATGCGCTGGCTTGAGCAGGGGGACCTTGCGTGCGCTGCAGGATTTTAATCCATGACGGCGGTTTAGTGTGTTACTAATGGTTTTCTTTGAGACTGTGGTCCCAGCTCTCTTCAGGTCATTGACCAGGTCCTGCCGTGTAGTTCTGGGCTGATCCCTCACCTTCCTCATGATCATTGATGCCCCACAAGGTGAGATCTTGCATGGAGCCCCAGACCGAGGGTGATTGACCGTCATCTTGAACTTCTTCCATTTTCTAATAATTGCGCCAACAGTTGTTGCCTTCTCACCAAGCTGCTTGCCTATTGTCCTGTAGCCCATCCCAGCCTTGTGCAGGTCTACAATTTTATCCCTGATGTCCTTACACAGCTCTCTGGTCTTGGCCATTGTGGAGAGGTTGGAGTCTGTTTGATTGAGTGTGTGGACAGATGTCTTTTATACAGGTAACGAGTTCAAACAGGTGCAGTTAATACAGGTAATGAGTGGAGAATAGTAGGGCTTCTTAAAGAAAAACGAACATATCTGTGAGAGACGGAATTCTTATTGGTTGGTAGGTGATCAAATACTTATGTCATGCAATAAAATGCAAATTAATTACTTAAAAATCATACAATGTGATTTTCTGGATTTTTGTTTTAGATTCCGTCTCTCACAGTTGAAGTGTACCTATGATAAAAATTACAGACCTCTACATGCTTTGTAAGTAGGAAAACCTGCAAAATCGGCAGTGTATCAAATATTTGTTCTCCCCACTGTATATAGAGCACTACTTTTGACCAAAGCCCTGGGCCCTGGCCAAAAGTAGTGCACTACAGTAATCTTGTAGATATGCATAGATCCTAGAGTACTAGGCCTTGTCTGTATTCCTCCTGCAGGAGAGTCTGGTTTGGGCAAGTCTACGCTGATCAACAGCCTGTTTCTGACAGACCTCTACCCAGAGAGATACATCCCTGGGGCCGCAGGTAAACACAAACGCACTCTCACACACACACAGACACACACCCACACACAGGAAATAAGCAAGGAAGAATGAGTTCTGCTCTCAGACCAGACAGTGCGCACACACACACACACACACACACACACACACACTGTAATAATAGAGAAATGTCTGTTCCGCTGTCTCCAGCATAGTATTGCCTGGGGTGGAATGTTAAGAATGTTTATTTTGTATTAGTCTTTAAAAGGCCCATCCCCTCCTTATGACTTAGATTATTGGCCAGTCTGAAAAACAACCTCCAGCTCCTACCACTTTTGTGTTTGTAGTTCTGAAGGGATGGGATAGGTGTAAGCAATATGGTGATAACTTATAGTACCAACTTCTGCCATACTGCTTACACCTGTCCAGTGCCTGAAGATCTGCATAAGGATATTGTGTCCAGAGGCTTGGCTTAGGCAGACTTTGTTATTTAAGCTCTAGAGTCACAAGGAACAGAAACTTTGATGTGAAAAGTAATGAAACTACATATTAATAAACCGTGTCCCCGGGATCCCTCTAAGCTTAACCTGGTGTGTTACACACAATAAAAAAGTATTTCCTTTTGTCTTCTCCTCTGTAGAGAAGATTGAGCGGACGGTGCAGATAGAAGCCAGTACGGTGGAGATTGAAGAGAGAGGAGTGAAGCTCCGTCTTACTGTGGTCGACACCCCCGGATACGGAGATGCCATCAACAGCCAGGACTGGTGTGTGTGTGTGTGTGTGTATTTACAATGGTTGGTGATGGCAGGAGCAGTTATTCTTCCTGTGCCCTTGCCCCAATCAGCTGCTGTGTGGGCTCTCTCCCTCTCTCCATCCCCCTCCTCCCTCTCAGCTCTGTTTCCTTTAGATTTTCCTGACATATCTGTGTTGGGGCCTGCTGGTTTGACCTGCAACTCAGGGTTGGTGACAACTGGCAGTGGTCTAAGGGCTAGGCTGAGTGCAATAGAGCAGGTTAGAAGCTCAGTGGTGTTGGTGACAACGAAGGGGCAACAGTACATTTACAGTTGACATTTTAGTCATTTAGCAGACACTCTTATCCAGAGCAACTTACAGGAGCAATTAGGGTTACGTTTCTTGCTTAAGGGCACATCAACAGATTTTTTTACCTAGTCAGCTCGGGGATTCGAACCAGCGACCTTTCGGTTACACTGTTAACAGCTAGGCTACCTGCCGCCCCAGTAGCAGGTGTTAAGGATATGCTTACATCCAGAGTTGGGATCATTCCATTTCAATTCCATTCCTCTCAGAATTTTTTCACAGTAGTGGCCGGAGTTATCTGGAGTTGTTATGGAATGGACCCCAACACTACCTGGGTCCAATAGGGTGAGGTGAATTTATGTCAGAGGTAAACTGCATCCCAAATGGCACCCTATTTCCTATATACAGTTGAAGTCGGAAGTTTACATTTACATCATTTAGCAGACACTCTTATCAAGAGCGACTTACAAATTGGTGCATTCAACTTATGATAGCCAGTGGGACAACCACAATTTTTTTATATGGGGGGTGAGGGAAGAAGGATTACTTTATACTATACCAGGTATTCCTTAAAGAGGTAGGGTTTCAAGTGTCTCCGGAAGGTGGTCAGTGACTCCGCTGTCCTGGCGTCGTGGGGGAGCTTGTTCCACCATTGGGGTGCCAGAGCAGCGAATAGCTTTGACTGGGCTGAACGGGAACTGTGCTTCCGTAGAGGTAGGGGGGCTAGCAGGCCAGAGGTGGATGAACGTAGTGCCCTCGTTTGGGTGTAGGGTCTGATCAGAGCCTGAAGGTAAGGAGGTGCCGTCCCACTCACAGCTCCGTAGGCAAGCACCATGGTCTTGTAGTAGATGTGAGCCACAACTGGAAGCCAGTGGAGTGTGCGGAGGAGCGGGGTGACATGAGAGAACTTGGGAAGGTTGAACATCAGACGGGCTGCAGCGTTCTGGATAAGTTATAGGGGTTTAATGGCACAGGCAGGGAGCCCAGCCAACAGCGAGTTGCAGTAATCCAGACGGGAGATGACAAGTGCCTGGATTAGGACCTGTGCCGCTTTCTGTGTAAGGTAGGGTCGTACTCTGCGAATGTTGTAGAGCATGAACCTGCAGGATCGGGTCACCGGTTTGATGTTAGCGGAGAACGACAGGGTGTTGTCCAGGGTCACGCCAAGGTTCTTTGCACTCTGGGAGGAGGACACAATGGAGTTGTCAACCGTGATGGCGAGATCATGAAGCGGGCAGTCCTTCCCGGGAGGAAGAGCAGCTCCGCTTGCCGAGGTTCAGCTTGAGGTGGTGATCCGACATCCACACTGATATGTCTGCCAGACATGCAGAGATGCAATTCGCCACCTGGTTATCAGAAGGGGGAAAGGAGAAAATTAATTGTGTGTCGTCTGCATAGCAATGATAGGAGAGACCATGTGAGGATATGACAGAGCCAAGTGACTTGGTGTATAGAGAGAATAGGAGAGGGCCTAGAACTGAGCCCTGGGGGACACCAGTGGTGAGAGCACGTGATGCGGAGACAGATTCTCGCCACGCCACCTGGTAGGAGCGACCTGTCAGGTAGGACGCAATCCAAGAGTGAGCAGCGCCGGAGATGCCCAACTCGGAGAGGGTGGAGAGGAGGATCTGATGGTTCACAGTATCAAAGGCAACGGATAGGTCTAGAAGGATAAGAGCAGAGGAGAGAGAGTTAGCTTTAGCAGTGCGGAGAGCCTCCGTGACACAGAGAAGAGCAGTCTCAGTTGAATGACCAGTCTTGAAACCTGACTGGTTTGGATCAAGAAGGTCATTCTGAGAGAGATAGCAGGAGAGTTGGCTAGAGACGGCACGCTCAAGAGTTTTGGAGAGAAAAGAAAGGGATACTGGTCTGTAGTTGTTGACATCGGAGGGATCGAGTGTAGGTTTTTTGAGGAGGGGTGCAACTCTCGCTCTCTTGAAGACGGAAGGGACATGGCCAGCGGTCAAGGATGAGTTGATGAGCGAGGTAAGGGAGAAGGTCTCCGGAAATGGTCTGGAGAAGAGAGGAGGGGATAGGGTCAAGCGGGCAGGTTGTTGGGCGGCCGGCCGTCGCAAGATTTCATCTGGAGAGAGAGGGGAGAAAGAAGTCAAAGCATAGGGTAGGGCAGTGTGAGCAGGACCAACGGTGTCATTTGACTTAATAAATGAGGATCGGATGTCGTCAACCTTCTTTTCAAAATGGTTGACGAAGTCATCCACAGAGAGGGAGGAGGGAGGGGAGGAGGAGGAGGATTCAGCAGGAAGGAGAAGGTGGCAAAGTGCTTCCTAGGGTTAGAGGCAGAGGCTTGAAATTTAGAGTGGTAGAAAGTGGCTTTAGCAGCGGAAACAGAGGAAGAGAATGTAGAGAGGAGGGAGTGAATAGATGACAGGTCCGCAGGGAGTCTAGTTTTCCTCCATTTCCGCTCGGCTGCCCGGAGCCCTCTTCTGTGAGCTCGCAATGAGTCGTCAAGCCACGGAGCAGGAGGGGAGGACCGAGCCGGCCGGGAGGATAGGGGACATAGAGAGTCAAAAGATGCAGAAAGGGAGGAGAGGAGGGTTGAGGAGGCAGAATCAGGAGATCGGAGGGAGAAGGATTTAGCAGAGGGAAGAGATGATAGGATGGAAGAGGAGAGAGTAGCGGGAGAGAGAGAGCGAAGGTTGCGACGGCACATTACCATCTGAGTAGGGGCAGAGTGAGTAGTGTTGGAGGAGAGCGAGAGAGAAAAGGATACAAAGTAGTGGTCGGAGACTTGGAGGGGAGTTGCAGTGAGATTAGTAGAAGAACAGCATCTAGTAAAGATGAGGTCAAGCGTATTGCCTGCCTTGTGAGTAGGGGGGACGGTGAGAGGGTGAGGTCAAAAGAGGAAAGGAGTGGAAAGAAGGAGGCAGAGAGAAATTAGTCAAATGCAGATGTAGGGAGGTTAAAGTCACCCAGAACTGTGAGGGGTGAGCCGGGAACTTATCAAGGCGTCAAGCTCATTGATGAACTCTCCAAGGGAACCTGGAGGGCGATAAATGACAAGGATGTTAAGCTTGAATGGGCTAGTGACTGTGACAGCATGGAATTCAAATGAGGAGATAGACAGATGGGTCAGGGGAAAAAGAGAGAATGTCCACTTGGGAGAGATGAGGATTCCTGTGCCACCGCCGCGCTGACCAGATGCTCTCGGGGTATGCGAGAACACATGGTCAGACGAGGAAAGAGCAGTAGGAGTAGCAGTGTTTTCTGTGGTAATCCATGTTTCCGTCAGCGCCAAAAAGTCGAGGGACTGGAGGGTAACATAGGCTGAGATTAACTCTGCCTTGTTGGCCGCAGAACGGCAGTTCCAGAGGCTGCCAGAGACCTGGAACTCCACGTGGGTCGTGCAAGCAGGGACCACCAGATTAGAGTGGCAGCAGCCACGCGGTGTGAAGCGTTTGTATGGCCTGTGCAGAGTGGAGAGAACAGGGATAGACAGACACATAGTTGACAGGCTACAGAAAAAGTCTACAATAATGCAAAGGAGATCGGAATCAAATGAACTAAACATCTGGGAAAGCGAGAGAGCGGGGCCTCCCTCACTTAAGTTTCACTGAAACACTCAAATATAACTCTCCCAACTTTCACTTTAGAAATTATAATTGTTGTAAACTACAGCGGTTCAATGTTTTCTAGGAATAGACTCTAACTTAGTTTATTCAGCTAGCATACACTTAAAACTCGTTTTTCAACCACGCCACAAATTTCTTGTTAACAAACTATAGTTTTGGGAAGTTGGTTAGGACATCTACTTTGTGCATGACACAAGTCATTTTTCCAACAATTGTTTATAGACAGATTATTTCACTTATAATTCACTGTATCACAATTCCAGTGGGTCAGACGTTTACATACACTAAGTTGACGGTGCCTTTAAACAGCTTGGACATAATTCGAGTCAATTGGAGGTGTACCTGTGGATGTATTTCAAGGCCTACCTTCAAACTCAGTGCCTCTTTGCTTGACATCATGGGAAAATCAAAAGAAATCAGCCAAGATCTCAGAAAAGAAATTGTAGACTTCCACAAGTCAGGTTCATCCTTGGGAGTAATTTCCAAACGCCTGAAGGTACCACGTTCATCTGTACAAACGATAGTACGCAAGTAGAAACACCATGGGACCACGCAGCCGTCATACCGCTCAGGAAGGAGACGCGTTCTGTCTCCTAGAGATGAACGTACTTTGGTGCGAAAAGTGTAAATCAATCCCAGAACAACAGCAAAGGACCTTGTGAAGATGCTGGAGGAAACAGGTACAAAAGTATCTATATCCACAGTTAAACGAGTCCTATATCGACATAACCTGAAAGGCCGCTCAGCAAGGAAGAAGCCACTGCTCCAAAACCGCCATAAAAAAGACAGATTTCGATTTGCATCTGCACATGGGGACAAAGATCGTACTTTTTGGAGAAATGTCCTCTGGTCTGACAAAACAAAAATATAACTGTTTGGCCATAATGACCATCGTTATGTTTGGAGGAAAAAGGGGGATGCTTGCAAGCCAAAGAACACCATCCCAACCGTGAAGCACGGGGTGGCAGCATCATGCTGTGGGGGTGCTTTGCTGCAGGAGGGACTGGTGCACTTCACAAAATAGATGGCATCATGAGGAAGGAAAATTATGTGGATATATTGAAGAAACATCTCAAGACATCAGTCAGGAACTTACAGATTGGTCGCAAATGGATCTTCCAAATGGATAATGACCCCAAGCATACTTCCAAAGTTGTGGCAAAATGGCTTAAGGACAACAAAGTCAAGGTATTGGAGTGGCCATCACAAAGCCCTGACCTCACTCTTATAGAAAATGTGTGGGCAGAACTGAAAAAGTGTGTGCGAGCAAGGAGACCTACAAACCTGACTCAGTTACACCAGCTCTGTCAGGAGGAATGGGCCAAAATTCAAGCTTGTGGAAGGCTACCCGAAATGTTTGACCCAAGCTAAACAATTTAAAGGCAATGCTACCAAATACTAATTGAGTGTATGTAAACTTCTGACCCACTGGGAATGTGATGAAAGAAATAAAAGCTGAAAGAAATAATTCTCTCTACTATTATTCTGACATTTCACATTCTTAAAATAAAGTGGTGATCCTAACTGACCTAAGACAGGGAATTTTTTACTAGGATTAAATGTCAAGAATTGTGAAAAACTGAGTTTAAATGTATTTGGCTAAGGTGTATGTAAACTTCTGACTTCAACTGTAGTGCACTAATATTGACCAGAATAGCGCACTAAACACGGAATAGGGTGCCATTTGGGATGCAGACTTTGTGTTAATGTTAGTTCTGGCTGGGAGGGAAGCTGTAGGCGCCCTGCTAATGACCATGTTACCATGCCTACTGGCCCTGCAGGAAGTCATCAGAGAAAGCAGGTCAGATGGCAGAGATGATAGGCTGCATCTCAATACTCTGATACGGCTTCCTTTTCTGGTCTCTTTTACGCCATGTTGGTCTCTCAGAGATGATAGGCTGCATCTCAATACTCTGTAACAGCTTCCTTTTCTGGTCTCCTTTTCTCCATGTTGGACTCTCAGAGATGATAGGCTGCATTTCAATACTCTGAAACGGCTTCCTTTTCTGGTCTTTTTGTTCTCTTATCCCTGGTTTTCAAATCAGTGCAGATGAGGTAGAAGATGTGAGGAGATATAGCCAGTTTATGCTTTTGAGATGCACCCCTTTGTGAAAATATATACAGTACATATACTCACAAGGCTCCAAAAACCCACAATCTATTTCTGGAGGTGGTCTTCTAGTGCAGACTATGTCTCTGGTTGTTTTTTGTTTGATATGTGTGTGTGTTTCTATCCTGTGTGTCCTCAGCTTTAAGACCATCATCCAGTACATTGATAACCAGTTTGAGCGTTACCTTCATGACGAGAGTGGCCTGAACCGCAGACACATCGTAGACAACCGAGTCCACTGCTGCTTCTACTTTATCTCTCCCTTTGGACACGGGTAAGAACACACACACATGCGCAAGCACACACACACACACACACACACACACACACACACACACACACACACACACACACTCTCACTGCTACTTCTAGTTCATACCACCATTTAGGCTAGGTAGGGGGAACATAATCACTTTATATTTTTTATTTAGCTACTATTATTTATCTATTTATTGTATTTCTACCTGTCCAGTCTGAAGCCTCTGGATGTGGAGTTTATGAAGGCCATCCACAGCAAGGTCAACATTGTACCTGTCATCGCTAAAGCTGACACACTCACACTGAAAGAGAGAGATCGCCTTAAGAGGAGGGTGAGTGGGGCACGTGCATACACAAGCATGCGACAAGCATGTCAGACATTCAAGAGTTTTCCCTCATTCCCCTAGGTATTTATTTTTAAACACAGGTGTAAAAACATAGCATTGCCCCTTACTGAGATCAATGGAATTTGTGATGAGGTAGTTGCCAGAATGTTGAGGGCTGCATTATCATCAGTAGCTGTTCTGTGTTGTTTGTGTCCTGAGCCATATGGTACTGTCATTAGAAAGTAGATTATATAATAATAATAATAATAATAATAGAGAAATTGGATTCTTATCAGCACAGTGGCACGCTGGCTCAGAGGCAACTATGCAAGTCGAACATCCGTGATTGTGTGTGAATACGCACACGTTTGCCTATGTGTGGCTGTGTGTGTGTATGTGTGTACATTTTTAATGATGCTGGACAATAGCAGGCTTATTTAGAAGTGCAGAGAGAAAAAAGAGGGAGAGAGAGCATACACATATCTTGGTCAGTGTCCCCTCCTTCCAGATGCTTCCTATTGGAGCAGACCTGCATGCTCCTGGTTTCCTGATGTCTGGTCTGATGTCACACACACACACACCATGAGAGGTTTGTTAAGCTGATATAGCCCACGCTAGGCAGAGGAGAATGAGGCTGTGTAAATAGGATTTCCTGCATCCCCCCTACTTATCTCCCCTACTCCCTCCCTCCACCCACCCAGCCCACCCAACAATGGCTCCACTGCCTGATAATATAGATGTTTTGGTTTCTGCTACTTTTGATTCTTGTGTTTGAGTCAGTTTGTTTCAATTGTTTCAACAGTGCCTTTTTCTCTGTGGTGGGAGGGATAGCAACCAGATCCGGACAGGGCTGGCGTGTGTGTGCGTGCACTTGTGTGTGTGTGTAACATCCATCCAGTATAATAATTTGTGAATATCTTATTGTCTAACTCCTGCCCACAACCCACTTCGTTTTGCCTGAGCTGTCTCGTTAGCTATACTTTAACAAGTTTGTTTGCTTACCTAGCAGCTGGGCTCCAGTGGAGGATGGCAGACACAGTCACTGTACAGCTGCTTTGTTGGAGGCCCAGGTCTGGACAGAGCTGGTTCTACAGGAGTGTGTGTGACTGCAGACTCAGTCTGGTTGTGTAAACTGCTGATGTTACAGATTAGTAAAGACACACACACACACACACACACAGTTCCTCCTCAAATAGTATTTTTTTAAATAGATTTTAAAAAAAGCTTTTACCAGATCTGTATAGGGTGAGTGTCCTGACAGCCATAGGGATGGAATGGGGTGAGAGAGGGACAGGAGATATGCTTTTGATCAAATTGCACACCCTGCTCAACTGTCTAAAAACTCTGTCTGTTTGTCGCATTAGTTCCCATGGTCCACTTAGCGTTCCCATAAAAACAGTTAACAAGCGATTAGGATAAACAGAATGAATAGCCGAGGGCTGAGAACAGAGAAGAAAGCAATCAAGATAGAAGTGGCAGCTGTACAAATAACTCACCCAAAGGGCTTTGACTTCTCAAACACGGCAGAAAGCTAACACAATATGATGCCCCGTCACATTATTAATTCAGCCACTTAGTTAGATAGCAACTTAAACTTAGGGGTCGTGTTAACGCAGAATTCTGCATTTTTCACGCAGGAACAAAATATAAAACGCATAAGAAATATCTTGCTGTGTTTTGTAAATGCAGATCTAAAATGCTTCTTATTGTAATTTCTGCTCAGCATCAGACTAATTTTGTGCTTCAGTTGCACTTCTCCACTCAGATGAGAATTCACAGGTGGGCATTCTATCAGCAGACAGCGCTCTGACTCATGTGCAGTTACTTTTCTCCGGTACTTTTCTTCGTGTAGCCAGCCTATTTTTCTCGGTAAAATTAACTTTAAGAAAAACATTAGGAAATGTAGCTGGCTACATTCTTTCTATGATAGGCCTAAACATTAGAAATATGATGGCCATGCATAGTTTTTGCAAAATAAAATGTGCTTTTTAGTTGTAAGCTCCTTTTCTTGTGATCTGATGAAAATTAACCTATTTTCTGCTGAATGTGTTGCACTAATGTATTTTCTGTAAAGGAAAACTATAGTTGCACGCCCCTGATCACTCTATTGAAGCGAAAAAACACTTGACCTTCAATATAAAATGCGACCCCCGGAGCTGGAGCTGCTTGCGCTTCCCCGTTGTGCAATTTACAAACAAACACATTACTGGCTCAACTGTTCTGAGGAACGACGTAAGCTTCATAATGTAAAATAATGTGACAGGTGAAATTAAGAACGCAATCTGCTTTATCTCCTATCGCATTGTGCAAGTTGACTGCAGGTATTTACTTTAAAAATAGCTACAATTATTAAAACGTATTAAATGTCAAATAAATAGTTTCAATGGTATTGACAGTATTGAAAAACCATCCCATGGCTATTTCCAAATACCCCTTCGCTAAGCATCAATTACATTTTATTTTTCAATGGAACATTTTTTTTTTTTCCCAATCATTCTCCTGGATGCTGAAAGTTATTGGCTCTTTGTTTTGAATCTTTTCAACTTCCGGCCAAGATAATGTTGGGATGCTTAAAGTCTCTCTGTACCTGTACATACTGCATACACAGTGCTATGAAAAAGTATTTGCCCCCTTTCTAATTTTCTCTACTTTTGCACATTTGTGATACTGAATGTTATCAGATCTTCAACCAAAACCTAATATTAGATAAAGGGAACATAAGTGAACAAATAACACAACAATTACATATTTATTTCATTTATTTCATAAACAAAGTTATGCAACACCCAATTCCCCTGTGTGAAAAAGTAATTGCCCCCTTATACTCAATAACTGGTTGTGCCACCTTTAGCTGCAATGACTCCAACCAAATGCTTCCTGTAGTTGTTGATCAGTCTCTCACGTCGCTGTGGAGGAATTTTGGCCCACTCTTCCATGCAGAACTGCTTTAACTCAGTGACATGTGGGTTTTCAAGCATGAACTGCTCGTTTCAAGTCCTGCCACAACATCTCAATTGGGATTAGGTCTGCACTTTGACTAGGCCATTCCAAAACGTCCAATTTGTTACTTTTTAGCAATTTTCATGTAGACTTGATTGTGTGTTTTGGATCATTGTCCTGCTGCATGACCCGGATGCGCTTCAGCTTCAGCTCACAGACGGATGATCTGACATTCAGCAAAGCATCCCCAAACCATCACCCCACCACAACCATGCTTGACCTTTGGTATGATGTTCTTACTGTGGAATGCAGGCATAATGGGACCCATCTCGTCCAAAAAGTTGACTCAAGTTTGCCAAAAAGCACCTGGATGATCATCAAGACTCTTGGAAGAACGTTCTATGTACAGATTATTTAAAAGTATACATTTTTGGACGACATGGTTCCAGTAATGCCTGGTGAAAACCAAACTCTGCATTCCACAGTAAGAACATCATACCAAAGGTGGTGGTGGTGTGATGGTTTGGGGATGCTTTGCTGCCTCAGGATCTGGACGACTTGCCTTAATAGAAGGAACCATGAATTCTGCTCTGTATCAGAGAATTCTACAGGAGAATGTCAGACCATCCGTCTGTGAGCTGAAGCTGAAGCGCAGCTGGGTCATGCAGCAAGACAATAATCCAAAACACACAATCAAGTCTACATGAAAATTGCTAAAAAGCACCACATTTGAAGTTTTGGAATGGCCTAGTCAAAGTCCAGACCTAATCCCAATTGAGATGTTGTGGCAGGACTTGAAACGAGCAGTTCATGCTTGAAAATCCACACGTCACTGAGTTAAAGCAGTTCTTCATGGAAGAGTGGGCCAAAATTCCTCCACAGCGACGCCGAGCACCTTAGTTGAGTACCAGTCCCCTGCCAAACTAGGGTAGTTGGGTGCCCCTCCCCTGGTCAATTCCACAGTAACTTTTAACAATTTCCACAAACATTTATACAAAAACACATTTACTTGAAGAACAGTGCAGATGCAAAGTTTGGTAACGTTATGCTGTTTATGGCGTCATTCTGTTACCAAACTTTCCATCTGCACTGTTCTCCAAGTACATTTATTTTTGTCACATTTTCTGTGGAAATTGTTAAAGTAGTCCTTGTGCAGAGATGTATGGTTTGTTGAACTTTGCAATCATTGGTTTTTGTTTGACATACATTTTAAAGTGAAAAATCTGAGTCTGTGTCACTCTGTGGAATTGCCCCCTGCCAGACTAGGGCAGTTGGGTGCCCCACCCCTGTTAGACTAGGGTAGTAGGATACTCATCCCCTGTTAGACTGGGATAGTACAATACCCCTCCCCTGTTAGACTAGGGTAGTAGAATACCCCTCTCCTGCCATACTAGGGTAGTTGAGTACCAGTCTTTCTATTGAGGTCAGAGAGGCAGCAGCCAAGAAGCTACCAGAAAAAGCCTTCGGCTGTAGAATGATTAATGACTAGTGTTTTCCCCCAGATATTTATTTGTTTATTTGTTTTTCACTGGCCACTTTCTCACCATTTTTACGTTGTTTGTCCATCAGCTAAATGTGTTGCCCTCCCTTCATCCCCAGTCCTACTCTCTCTGTATTATTAGGGGGAAACAGCTTGTAGAGAACAATATACGTTTCCTGCAATCTCAAGACTATTCCGCCGACAAGACGCAGCCTGCCACCCTGCGCAATATAACCTTATCAACCTTTGAACAAACCTCGCTCTCGCCCTTGCTCACCATCCCTCTCTTTTGTTCTCTCCTTCTCTCCCCTCAGACTTTGTTCCTTTGGTCTCCCCGCTTTCTCTCTCCCTCTCCCCCTTCTCTCTCCATCCCCCTTCTTTATTCTTTGTAATGCCAGTTCTATTTATAATACTCTTTCGATGTGTCACTTATGGGATATGCCTTATGGAGGATCACAAGCTCGAAGAATCCAATCACACAGTGTCTGTTGGAGACAGACAAGTCGGGTGGCGAATGAGGTGAGCCCCTCTCCTCAATAAAGGGAACCATCCGCCCGCCAACTGGTCATTCTCGCCTTTCTTCCTTGCGGTAGTAACTGTGCTCACTAAAAGCTCTCATCAGCACGAATAGATTCATGTCTTGCAACTGAACTGTTCTCAGGCGAACCGTGAGGTTAACACTGCCGAACATAGGACCTCAGCTCCTGTCGTTTACATTTCTATTTTAGTAATTTAGCAGACGCTCTTATCCAGAGCAACTTACAGTTAGTGCATTCATCTTAAGATACTGTAGCTAGGTGGGACAACCACATATCTGTCATAGTAAGTAAATTTTTCCTCACTAAAGTAGCTATCAGCAAAGTCTGTTTAGCTAACGTCACATGGCTAGCTATCGAGACTTGGTTAGCCCTCGCCTCAAGGCTTTATCTAACTTGGCTAGCTAGCTACAAGGCTAGTTAACCACACAAAGGGCTAGCTGTCGCCGCAAGGCTTAGCTAACCCGTGTAACTCGCCGCAAGTCTAGCTACACTAAACTAGCTTTTCTACCAGGAAAGGGTAGAATTGCTGGCTTTCCTCTCACGTTTAGCACAACACACTCACGGACCGTGTTGACTGGACTGACCGCCCTAGCTTCACAGCTCGACGGTCGAGAGACACGCATGGTTCGCCGAAAGACAAAGATAGCATGCTCATTCTCTGGCTAGCAGTGTGCTAACTAGCTAGGCTGTTAACCATGAGGTGAATGCTAGCTAGCTCACACTTTGCTTGAGGAATAGTATTTATTGCATCCATGGAGCCTACTACCCCTACACAGGGAGAACCTAGCAGGCCTCCTGCCCCAGCACCGGCACACCCATGCCCATGCGGCGCGATGATAGCAGGCAGGGATACACACCCCATACAGTGAGGGGGAAAAAGAATTTGACCCCCTGCTGATTTTGTACATTTTCCCACTGACAAATAAATGATCAGTCTATAATTTTAATGGTAGGTTTATTTGAACAATGAGAGACAGAATAACAACAAAAACATCCAGAAAAACGCATGTCAAAAATGTTATAAATTGATTTGCATTTTAATGAGGGAAATAAGTATTTGACCCCCTCTCAATCAGAAAGATTTCTGGCTCCCAGGTGTCTTTTATACAGGTAACAAGCTGAGATTAGGAGCACACTCAAAGGGAGTGCTCCTAATCTCAGCTTGTTACCTGTATAAAAGACACCTGGGAGCCAGAAATCTTTCTTTTTTGTTGTTGTTGTTGTTATTCTGTCTCTCACTGTTCAAATAAACCTACCATTAAAATGATAGACTGATCATTTCTTTGTCAGTGGGCAAATGTACAAAATCAGCAGGGGATCAAATACTTTTTTCCCTCACTGTATGTATCGCCTGCTTAGGTTTTGAGCACGCTACGGCATCACTCGCTAACCCTGAGTTCTGCTTGCATTGTAGGGCACTGCCTGCAAACTGCCTTCATCAGCAAGTGCGCAGAGCAACCTCCAAACAAGACTCGTCGCCCTCACAGCCTTCGGGCAATGAGGCTAACCCACAAACCCTTCCCTCCTTGGAGGAGGTTCATTAAATACGGAGCCCTCAAATCACTGTATCAAAACAAAACAGCGGGCGAGGAGGATGAGAAACTCGATGTCGATGAAGAAGAAATACTCCAAATCGTCGAGGAGAAGAAAACTCAAGCCCACGGCTCTGCCCTCAGTGCAGCATCAGCACCCAATGAAAATGTTGGGCTTATCGACGTCTAAACAGGCAGCGACCAGGCTCGGTATCGACTGGTCCACACCTGTGGGGGGTTGCTGCGCTGAAAGGGACTGGTTAGACGGGAGGAAACTCCCCTCTCGCACCATCCCGGGGAAACGACGACTCCTAAGGGTTCCAGCATGCGTGGCGGAAGCCAAACTTAACTGGGACAAGCCCCTGTCCAGCAAGGCCCAAACCAAATCAAGCTTTATTTATACAGCACATTTCAACCAATAAGAATTCCGGCTCTCACAGACCTGTTAGTTTTTCTTTAAGAAGCCCTCCTGTTCTCCACTCATTACCTGTATTAACTGCACCTGTTTGAACTCGTTACCTGTATAAAAGACACCTGTCCACACACTCAATCAAACAGACTCCAACCTCTCCACAATGGCCAAGACCAGAGAGCTGTGTAAGGACATCAGGGATAAAATTGTAGACCTGCACAAGGCTGGGATGGGCTACAGGACAATAGGCAAGCAGCTTGGTGAGAAGGCAACAACTGTTGGCGCAATTATTAGAAAATTGAAGAAGTTCAAGACGACGGTCAATCACCCTCGGTCTGGGGCTCCAGGCAAGATCTCACCTCGTGGGGCATCAATGATCATGAGGAAGGTGAGGGATCAGCCCAGAACTCCCCCTGCTCAAGCCAGCGCATGTCCAGGCCCGTCTGAAGTTTGCCAAAGACCATCTGGATGATCCAGAGGAGGAATGGGAGAAGGTCATGTGGTCTGATGAGACAAAAATAGAGCTTTTTGGTCTAAACTCCACTCGCCGTGTTTGGAGGAAGAAGAAGGATGAGTACAACCCCAAGAACATCATCCCAACGTGAAGCATGGAGGTGGAATCATCATTCTTTGGGGATGCTTTTCTGCAAAGGGGACAGGACGACTGCACCGTATTGAGGGGAGGATGGATGGGGCCATGTATCGCGAGATCTTGGCCAACAACCTCCTTCCCTCAGTAAGAGCATTGAAGATGGGTCGTGGCTGAGTCTTCCAGCATGACAACGACCCGAAACACACAGCCAGGGCAACTAAGGAGTGGCTCCGTAAGAAGCATCTCAAGGTCCTGGAGTGGCCTAGCCAGTCTCCATACCTGAACCCAATAGAAAATCTTTGGAGGGAGCTGAAGGTCCGTATTGCCCAGCGACAGCTCCGAAACCTGAAGGATCTGGAGAAGGTCTGTATGGAGGAGTGGGCCAAAATCCCTGCTGCAGTGTGTGCAAACCTGGTCAAGACCTACAGGAAACGCATGATCTCTGTAATTGCAAACAAAGGTTTCTGTACTAAATATTAAGTTCTGCTTTTCTGATGTATCAAATACTTATGTCATGCAATAAAATGCAAATTAATTACTTAAAAATCATACAATGTGATTTTCTGGATTTTTGTTTTAGATTCCGTCTCTCACAGTTGAAGTGTACCTATGATAAGAATTACAAACCTCTACATGCTTTGTAAGTAGGAAAACCTGCAAAATCGGCAGTGTATCAAATACTTGTTCTCCCCACTGTAAGTATTCAGATCCTTTACTCAGTTCTTTCTTGAAGCAGCGATTACAGACTTGAGTCTTCTTGGGTATGACGCTACAAACTTGGCACACCTGTGTTTTGGGGAGTTTCTCCCATTTTTCTCTGCAGATCCTCTCAAGCTCTGTCAGGTTGGATGGGGAGCGTCGCTGCACAGCTATTTTCAGGTCTCTCCAGAGATGTTAGATCGGGTTCAAGTGGTATTGACCAGGTGATGAGCGGTGCCTGGTTTCTCTCCAGACGTGACGCTTGGCATTCAGGCCAAAGAGTTCAATCTTGGTTTCATCAGACCAGAGAATCTTGTTTTTCATGGTCTGAGAGTCCTTTAGGTGCCTTTTGGCAAACTGTCATGTGCCTTTTACTGAGGAGAGGCTTCCGTCTGGCCACTCTACCATAAAGGCCTGATTGGTGGAGTGCTGCAGAGATGGTTGTCCTTCTGGAAGGTTCTCCCATCTCCACAGAGGAACTCTAGAGCTCTGTCAGAGTGACCATCGGGTTCTAGGTCACCTCCCTGACCAAGGCCTTTCTCCCCCGATTGCTCAGTTTGGCTGGGCGGCCAGCTCTAGGAAGAGTCTTGGTGGTTCCAAACTTCTTCAATTTAATAACGATGGAGGCCACTGTGTTCTTGGGGACCTTCAATGCTGCAACACATTTTTTGGTACCCTTCCCAGATCTGTGCCTCGACACAATCCTGTCTTGGAGCTCTAAGGACAATTCCTTCGACCTCATGGCTTGGTTTTTGCTCTGACATGCACTGTCAACTGTAGGACCTTACATAGACAGGTGTGTGCCTTTCCAAATCATGTCCAATCAATTTAATTTATCACAGGTGGACTCCAGTCAAGTTGTAGAAACATCTCAAGGATGATCAATGGAAACACGACGCACCTGAGCTGAATTTCGAGTCTCATAGCAAAGGGTTTGAATACTTATGTAAATAATTTCTGTTTATTTTATTTTATAAATTAGCAAAAATGTCTAAACCTGTTTTCGCTTTGTCATTATGGGGTATTGTGTGTAGATTGATGAGGAAAAATGTATTTAATTCATTTTAGAATAAGGCTGTAACGTAACAAAGTGGAAAAAGGGAAGGGGTCTGAATACTTTCCGAATGCACTGAATATGGGGTGGCAGGTAGCCTAGCGGAGCAGGGGTTTACAGCCCCCGGAGGGCCCGAAGGCTCATTCCACCAGTGGTATGGCTACCTCTTGGGCACTGTTCAAAGGCATCTCTTTACAAGAGATTTTTTCGAGGCGGCATGTTGGGCCATCCCTCATACATTTGAGGTTTTGACTGGATGTCACTGCACCTTTATTGGCGCATACTGTCCTCGGTATTGGCGCCTCTGAGGGGTGATGCTGTTGGAACTACCCTTGCTTCGGTAAACATGTCTGCGTTACGGGAGTTGGCCATATCCCATATATGACACATCAAAACGAGTATTAGAAATATAGGGTCTATGAGAATATGAGTGAGATGTGTCACCGCTTTTCCCTGCTCGCAAGAGCACAAAGAAGAGAGAGGCATGCTTGAGAATGACCAGTTGGCAGGCGAGTGGCTCCCTTTATTGAGGAAAGGAGCTCACCTCATTCGCAACTCGACCTGTCTGTCTCCAACAGACTCTGTGTGATTGGATTCTTCAAGCTTGTGACCCGCCCTAAGGCGTATCCCATAAGTGACATATTTCACTCATATTCTCATAGAACCGGGGTTAAGCAAGTAACCCTACGTTTCCCTGGCTGAGGGCACAGTGGTCTGTAACTCCTAAGTAGCCCTGAGCAGGATATATTGGAGAGTTTATCCTTTGTGTCTTTGACACTGCAACTCAGTGGCCTTGTGGTTAGTGTCCGCCCTCAGATTGGAAGGTTGTGAGTTCAATCCCTGGCCGAGTCATACCAAAGGCTGTAAAAATGGGACGTGATGCGTCTCCTCTTGGCACTCAGCATTAGGGAGATCGATTGGGGGTAAGGCCCTGTGATAGACTAGCATCCTGTCCAGGGGGTGTACTTGTACATCAAGCTGCCTCACGCTACAGAAACAGAAGATAGGCTCCTGCCCTATGAGCCATTCTGGCTCGCTCATGCAAGGCTACTTACTTACTGTGACCCTGCAGTCATATCCTGTGTGGGGCTTTACTCATAAACCACCTCACTACTGCTTCTCTATCTGATCAGACTTTATACAGGAACTGGTTTAGACTGGATCCTGTCAAGGACAATGGTACTGAAATAAGATGAGAAAACAGAATTCTGGCATATCCTGCATCAGCTATAATGGACATTTAGTATTTCTAGCATTTTATAGAGTATTGTATACAGGGTGTATACTGGTTGGGGCTGTGTCCTTATGTAAGATCAGTTTGGTTTTGTATAGGGTTGAACGGCGGGAACCCGGTTACCGAAATTTACTGGGATTTACCACCCACAACCACTCCCTTTTCCCGGGATAAATAACTGCGAGAAACGGGTAAATTATTTATATGAACAGCATGGCGTGAATTGGTACTGTTAAATTTGTATTTAACCTTTATTTAACTAGGCAAGTCAGTTAAGAACACCAGCCAAACCCGGACGACGCTGGGCCAATTGTGCGCCGCCCGATGGGACTCCCAATCACGGCCGGTTGTGATACAGCCTGGAATCGAACCAGGGAGTCTGCAGTGACGCCTCAAACACTGAGATGCAGTGCTTTAGACTGCTGCGCCACTCGGGAGCCTGAGTTTATTCAACAATGGGTTTTAAATGATCTTGATGAGGGAGGGCATGTAGTGCTAGTACACTGTACTGTATGTACCCACTAACCTGCTCTATCGGTATAGTAGCACTTGAGTTGGGTATTTTACTGCAATTGCTACTAGTAGTTTAGTAATCTGAGACAGTACATGGCCACTGTAGTTTGAAGGGAGGCAGAGGTCAGAGAGGGCTAGAGAGCTCAGGAGGAGTTCTATTCTCGTGCCGAGCCGGGGGACAACCAATTGTTCAGCCCTCTCCCCTTCTCTCTCCCCCGTCCACTCCTGTTCTCACGGAAGGCAGTTTGGCCATGCAGCTGCCATATTTCACCCAGGCCACGGCCTGCGGTGCTGTCACAGCTTTCCCGTCATTGTCTCGCTCCTGTCGACTCCCCCAGGAATCCTCAGTCCTGCTGCTACTGTGTGAACTAGCTCGACTATAGCCCCACAGGGCCGCCGTTGTGTTGAAGCGCTGTCCCCATGAAAATGTTTAAGATTAACTTTTCTCAGCAGCATACATATTTGATGCAAAGAGGATAGGACTAAAGTGACTAAGGGGGCAGTTGAAATTGGCGAGGTGGCACAATTTTGGGTTGTTCTTCCATTGGAATCATATTGAATTCTGCTTATCATGCTATACCACAATAAACAAAGTTCAAATGCCGAGACTCCGAGACCATTGAGTGCTTTTGAAGTGACAGGTTGGCGCAAAATCTGTAGCCCATCTCCACAGCGCTGAATCAGCACAATGGACAGCACCCTACACACTAAAGCAAGGCCATTTTGGCAATGAATATAGGCTACAAGATAGAATGATGCAGCTGCACACACAGCTGTCTTACCAAAACAATGCAAACTAAATGCTGAAAGTAATAGCCTAGTTATTCATGCAAACAAAAATACTGAATAGCAGTTTGGCTTAGAATACCGACACAACTGCGAATGCGATCGAATGAATGTGAACAGAACAAAACAGCGGTAGGCTTACTAGGCTTATAAACAAAATATCAGATCAATAAAGGCATGACACAATCTAGGCTAATTACATAAACAGTAAACAAATGGTGAATGCAAATAACTCAAATAATTTTTTTTTTTTTCACATTTTAGTCATTTAGCAGACGCTCTTATACAGAGCGACTTACAGTTAGTGAGTGCATACATTTTTTTTTTTCATACTGGTCCCCCGTGGGAATCGAACCCACAACCCTGGCGTTGCAAACGCCATGCTCTACCAACTGAGCTACACGGGAGTACAGCCTACTACATTGAGATGCAACAAGCTGTCTTGCCAAATAAACAGGCTTATAGGCCCGCTTCAAACATGGAAAATCATTCAGCTCATGAGTTCAGCAACACGTTGCGATATGGCACAATACACTTCTGTGGATCAAATTCGACTCGCCCAAATATTCAATTAAGTAATGCCGGCCTACCATAAACACTTTTCCAATACGTACAGTTCCATTTACAACCAAGAAAAGCAATAAGCTACCAAGAGCCTACATTCTATTTCTATGGTTATTTACTTCTACAGTGAGGGAAAAAAGTATTTGATCCCCTGCTGATTTTGAACGTTTGCCCACTGACAAAGAAATGATCAGTCTATAATTTAATGGTAGGTTTATTTGAACAGTGAGAGACAGAATAACAACAACAAAAATCCAGAAAAACGCATGTAAAAAATGTTATAAATTGATTTGCGTTTTAATGAGGGAAATAAGTATTCTCAATCAGAAAGATTTCTGGCTCCCAGGTGTCTTTTATACAGGTAACAAGCTGAGATTAGGAGCACACTCTTAAAGGGAGTGCTCCTAATCTCAGCTTGTTACCTGTATAAAAGACACCTGTCCACAGAAGCAATCAATCAATCAGATTCCAAACTCTCCACCATGGCCAAGACCAAAGAGCTCTCCAAGGATGTCAGGGACAAGATTGTAGACCTACACAAGGCTGGAATGGGCTACAAGACCATCGCCAAGCAGCTTGGTGAGAAGGTGACAACAGTTGGTGCGATTATTCGCAAATGGAAGAAACACAAAAGAACTGTCAATCTCCCTCGGCCTGGGGCTCCATGCAAGATCTCACCTCGTGGAGTTGCAATGATCATGAGAACGGTGAGGAATCAGCCTAGAACTATACGGGAGGATCTTGTCAATGATCTCAAGGCAGCTGGGACCATAGTCACCAAGAAAACAATTGGTAACACACTACGCCGTGAAGGACGGAAATCCTGCAGCGCCCGCAAGGTCCCCCTGCTCAAGAAAGCACATATACAGGGCCTTCTGAAGTTTGTCAATGAACATCTGAATGGTTCAGAGGAGAACTGGGTGAAAGTGTTGTGGTCAGATGAGACCAAAATCGAGCTCTTTGGCATCATCTCAACTTGCCATGTTTGGAGGAGGAGGAATGCTGCCTATGACCCCAAGAACACCATCCCCACCGTCAAACATGAAGGTGGAAACATTATGCTTTGGGGGTGTTTTTCTGCTAAGGGGACAGGACAACTTCACCGCCTCAAAGGGATGATGGACGGGGCCATGTACCGTCAAATCTTGGGTGAGAACCTCCTTCCCTCAACCAGGGCATTGAAAATGGGTAGTGGATGGGTATTCCAGCATGACAATGATCCAAAACACACGGCCAAGGCAACAAAGGAGTGGCTCAAGAAGAAGCATATTAAGGTCCTGGAGTGGCCTAGCCAGTCTCCAGACCTTAATCCCATAGAAAATCTGTGGAGGGAGCTGAAGGTTCGAGTTGCCAAACGTCAGCCTCGAAACCTTAATGACTTGGAGAAGATCTGCAAAGAGGAGTGGAACAAAATCCCTCCTGAGATGTGTGCAAACCTGGTGGCCAATTACAAGAAACGTCTGACCTCTGTGATTGCCAACAAGGGTTTTGCCACCAAGTACTAAGTCATGTTTTGCAGAGGGGTCAAATACTTATTTCCCTCATTAAAATGCAAATCAATTTATAACATTTTTGACATGCGTTTTTCTGGATTTTGTTGTTGTTATTCTGTCTCTCACTGTTCAAATAAACCTACCATTAAAATTATAGACTGATCATGTCTTTGTCAGTGGGCAAACGTACAAAATCAGCAGGGGATCAAATACGTTTTCCCCTCACTGTATGATGATACATACTGAAATGTAGCAATACCCATTTGGGTTCTTGCATTGGAATTATGTGATGTGCAGGAAGGCATCTTGGAACGCACAACGTGTCGATCCTTGTCACGGATGGGCTATTGCAGCAGACGACCACACTGGGTTCCACTCCTATCAGCTAAAAACAAGAAGAAGCGGCTCCAGTTGGCACGCGATCACCAACACTGGACAATTGAGGAGTGGAAAAACATAACTTGGAAAATGTTCAGTCCCCAGACCTCAACCCAATAGAGCATCTTTGGGAATTAGATGGAAGAGGCTGTTCGCAGCATGAATGTACCGCCTTCCAATCTGCAGCAACTGTGTGATGCCATTGCGTCAGCATGGACCAACATCCCTGTGGAACCTTTCCGACACCTTGTAAAATGCCCCAAAGAATTCAGGCAGTTGTGGAGGAAAAGGGGGGTCTGACCCGGTACTAGATGGGTGTACCTAATAAACTGTCCAGTGAGTTAATATTTTAATACAGAGTAGCTCAAAACATTCACAAATTACTCAATGGATCATGATAATTTTCTGGTAAAAAAGTGGGGTTGCAAAAACATGTTTGCACCCCTATTTTGAAAGTGGGGGTGCAGCTTCTCCATTTGCTCCATTGGTCAGGCACCTATGCTGGTAGCTGTACCTCAATCTCCAGGCTCATACAGTTGCGGTGGAGTACAGTTAGCTAGTTAGCGAGCTGCTAAGGCATAGCTAGCCAGTCAGTCCTACATACACTGTAGTTGGCTTAGCCTAGCATTAGCCTCAATGACCAAGATACTAGCATTCAGTGGTGGAGTTAGCCAAAGACCTTGTATTGCCTCCTCAAGTCCTGCACTGTTTCTCTTTCATCCTCTAAGCTTCTAATGGGTATTTCCAACACAAACACTCGGTGAACAGTGATGATGACCTCATCCTTACTCATCCCTCTCTGCTGTGTGTGTGTGTGTCCGTGTCCTTGTCCGTGTCGGTGTGGTCGTTGCCCAGTCCCTTTCCTGCCTGGGACTCGAACACGCAGGTGTATTTATTATTCTTCCCTGTGGCAGTCATTGTGCCAGGGCATGCCTGCGCTTCTGCAGGATTTAAAACAATAAATACACATTTCCCTCCATGGAGAGAATTACTTTAACACATAAATACCTCTTCAGAGTGGATTAGGAACAGGCCTTTTACTGTGAGATAACAGCCAGTTTCCTTGCATTTGGAACATCTTACATTTACGTCATTTAGCAGACGCTCTTATCCAGAGCGACTTACAGGAGCAATTAGGGTTAAGTGCCTTGCTCAAGGGCACATCGACAGATTTTTCACCTAGTCGGCTCGGGGATTAGAACCAGGGACCTTTCGGTTACTGGCACAACGCTCTTAACCACTAAGCTACTGGTCACCCCCTTCTTCTTTGATTGTAACACATTTATGTTCAGCCTCTTTTTAAACTGTGAAACTGCACTGTGACAACCAGAACCAAACAGAGGTATTTTCATCAACCCCTTTCAAACTCTTAAACTGACATGTTCCTTGGTTTTAATAGCTTATATACAGGACATTACTACATGGCTTAATTAGTACTGTGTGTATTGTACTCTCCTTCACTCTCTGTGATCATAGGTTGAGGTGGGTGGTCTGTGGATCAGTCGAGAAGGGGTGGGGGTGTACTTTCATTCCATTGCCTTTTTTATATTAAGTGTTAATCCCACCAGTTACCTTGGTAACTTTCTGCCCCCCACCCCTCCACTCCCATGCCCCCTGGCTGGGCAGACCCAGCAGGGCCAGTCCAGTCTGCCTGGTACAGTAATTACAGGAAGGACCTCTGCTCTAATCGTCCAGTGAATGGGTCTGGAATGTCGATTTGATGTCTTTGTGTAAGTGCTCTTTCAGAACGAGTCACTCGTTGCTTCACCCATTTCATTTCTAATCTGAAAGAAAGAAGAAAGCTACTTTGTTTTCCCATGCAGAGCTGTGAGGAGCTCTGTTAGCCTGGGCACCTGTACACCTGCATGCTACAGTACATTACTGTCTGGGAAGCTAGAGCATGGTGCAGGCATCAGGATGTCTGTATGAGGATGCATCCCAGATGGCACCCTATTCCCTATATAGTGCACTACTTCTGACTCCTACAGCATTACATGGAGCTTCCTAGGCCCAGGGGTAAGGGTCCATGGGGGCTATAGATGAAGCAGGAACAGGGAGTCAGAGAGGCTAGTTGTGTAATGCTGAAAGGGTGGGGCATCCTCTCCCTGGCCATCTCCCCTGGAGCTCCAAAGCTCCACCTCTCCTCTCCTCTCCACACACACACACACACACACACACACACACACACACACACACTCTCTCCTGCTGTCCATTTGACGCCAGATTATTTCAGCCCAAGAGCTGAGGCTGCAGAGAGAGGGAGAGAGACGTGTGTGTGTGTGTGTGTGGAGGGAGTGGTGTTGGGGTCTAATACCCTCAGTCTGCCCCCCTCAGAGTGAGTATTGTTGGGGCTCTGTCACCCCCGCTGACTTCATGGGGGCAGCAGGAGGGGTAGTCTCAATACATTTCCTGGAAAGACAAAATCATTTTGGGCTTAAAGTTAACAAATTAAGTTTTGAATTAAAGTTGTTTTTGAGTGAGGGACCTAGAGGAATCTAACGAGGAGTCAGCGTTTTTTCCACCACTGACTTCCTCATTAGTTGTGTAATGTGTGTGAGCCCAGTCAGCAGGAGCATGTGTGTGAGCCCAGTCAGTGGTAAAGCAAAACAATAATCCATTTGTTGTTATTATTAATATGTTATTATTATGTTGTCAACTTCATTGTTTATTGGATAGCTTTTTTTACAGTGGCTCCAGATGCTTTGGTCTGTAATGTTACATAAAGCTTACATCAAGGTTTTCCCAGCATAGACTTGGTGAGATCTCTGGGCTCCCATTGCCTTGCCCTCCTCACCCCGGGTCGATAAGAGTTTAGAGATGCCATTCGATTGTTTTTCTCATTGAGCTTTTTCGCTCTGCATTGTTGATTTCATAAGACTTTGCTTCAGTGCATATTTTCACTTCCAAGTATTGTTCCCTGGTGGACTAGTTGTTTAGTTGGGACAAACAGTACATGATGACAGACCTGAACATGCTGTTTCTGCTGAGTCAGGCCAGGAGCAGTACCAGGTGGACAGACAGGGCTGTGGTCTGTAACTGATTACACAGGATGTCTCCCAAATGGTATCCTATTCCCTTTATAGTGCACTACTTTTGACCAGAGCCCATAGGGAATAGGGTGCCATTTGGGTAACAGCCACAGAGTGTGGGACTGTTTAGCTACAAATACCATTATGGTCTGTGGCCATTTGTACTCGTACTGTAGCTAAGTGTAATGTATTGGAGTGGGACTTAACTCAGCTGTGTGTTTGTGGCTGTTTTTCTACTGGTTTGTGGCTATGATAGTCATACTCTATTGTGGATGTTTTCTTACTGGGTTTACGTTGTGGTGATGTTTATGAGTAAACCATATGAAAATATTATTGTATTGTGTTATTTGCTGGTGTAACCCCTTGTAATAAGGGGTTTGTAGTGAGAAACAGGTGTATTGCTTCTGTTAGTGTAGTTGGAGGCCTACATGACCTTAATGACTCAATGTTCCCCCCTATATTAAATATAGAAGATATGCTAAAGGAACTAAAGTATTTTGTATTGTATGGTTGCATATTGCATATAGGGCTCTGGGCAGAAGTTGTGCACTATATAGGGAATAGGGTGCCATTTGGGACACAACCATTGTTTTCAAACTTCTCATATCCACTGCCTCCATAATACCCCATAAAGTAAGAATGTCTCTCCCCACCCTTATCGTTTATTACCCCCAAGGGGAATTTTTCCACCTCCTCCGCTTCACTAGCCTTCACTAACACACAGTCATATTAGATAACACGTATCAAAACAAATTAAGCCTTTAAATCAGAGGCGCTCACTTTTCTAATTAATACTGAGGAAGAGCCCTTTGTGCCATTGTTACCAGAGACCTGACCTGCCAACTCAAACACAGCAAGAGAGAGAGAGCGAGAGGGGGGGGGGGGGGTCAGAGAGGGAGAGAGAGGCAGAGAAACAGACAGAAGGAGAGGCAGAGAGAGAAAGACAAAGAGCGCGAGGCGGAGGGTCAAAGAATGGCCCCCATATTCCCTTTCTCTCTGCCAATTACAACACAGGACTATAATCAGCAGGCTAGCTAGACAGTAAGGAGAGAGGATGGTGTAAGAGCATGGTCAAGATGTTGTCACTGGCCTACACACAATATCCCATAATGTCAAAGTGGAATTATGTTTTTAGGAAGTTTTACAAATTAATTAAAAATGAAAAGTTGAAATGTCTTGAGTCAAGAAGTATTCAATCCCGCTGTTATGGCAAGCCTTAATAAGTTCAGGAGTACACATTTGCTAAACAAGTCACATAATAAGTTGCATGGACTGACTCTGTGCAATAATAGTTATTTTTTTATCACTACCTCATCTCTGTACCCCACGCATACAATTATCTGTAAGGTCCCTCAGACAAGCACTGAATTTCAAACACAGATTCAACCACAAAGACCAGGTAGGTTTTCCAGTGCCTCGCAAAGAAGGCACCGATTGATAGATGGGTAAAAAAAAGCAGACATTGAATATCCTGTTGAGCATGGTAAAGTTATTAATTACACTTTGGATGGTGTATCAATACACCCAGTCACTACACAGATACAGGCGTCCTTCCTAACCCAGTTGACGGAGAGGAAGGAAACCGCTCAGTGATTTCACCATTAGGCCAATGGTGACCTTAAAACTATTAGAGTTTAATGGCTGTGATGGGAGAAAACTGAGGATGGATCAACAACATTGGAGTTACACCACAATACTAACCTAAATGGAAAGAAGGACGCCTGTACAGAATAACAATATTCCAAACATGCATCCTGTTTGCAATAAGGCATTAAAGTAAAACTGCAAAAAATGTGGCAAAGAAATGTACTTTATGTCCTAAATACAAAGCGTTACGTTTGGGGCAAATCCAACACAACACATCATGCTATGGGTATGGTTGCATCATGTTATGGGTATGCTTGTCATTGACAAGGACTAGGGAGTTTTTTAGGATAAAAAGAAATGGAAAACGTGGTTCAGTCTGCTTTCCAACAGGCACTGAGAGACAAATTCACCTTTCAGCAGGACAATAACCTAAAACACAAGGCCAGAAATACACTGGAGTTGCTTACCAAGATGACATTGATTGTTCCTGAGTGGCCTAATTACAGTTTTTACTTACAGTACCAGTCAAAAGTTTGGACACACCTACTCATTCCAGTTTTTTTTTTTTTTTTTTACTATTTTCTACATTGTATAATAATAATGAAGACATCAACACTATGAAATAACACATATGGAATCATGTAGTAACCAAAAAAGTGTTAAAGAAATCAAAATATATTTAATTTTTGAGATTCTTCAAAGTAGCCACCCTTTGCCTTGATGACAGCGTTGCACACTTGGCATTCTCTCAACCAGCTTCACAAGGTAGTCACCTGGAATGCATTTAAATTAAAAGGTGTGCCTTGTTAAAAGTTAATTTGTGGAATGTCTTTCCTTCTTAATGCGTTTGAGCCATTTTGTTGTGTTCTGACAAGGTAGGGGTGGTATACAGAAGATAGCCCTATTTGGTAAAATACCAAGTCCATATAATGGCAAGAACAGCTCAAATAAGCAAAGCGAAACGACAGTCCATCATTACTTTAAGACATGAAGGTCAGTCAATCCGGAAAATGTCATCAAGTGCAGTTGCAAAAACCATCAAGCGCTATGATGAAACTTGCTTTCATGAGGACCGCCACAGGAAAGGAAGACCTAGAGTTACCTCTGCTACTAGTCACTTTAGTAATGTTTACATATTTTTGCTTTACTCATCTCATATGTATATACTGTATTCTATTCTACTGTAATTTAGTCTATTCCACTCCGACATTGCTCGTCCTAATATTTATATATTTCTTAATTCCATTCTTTTACTTTTAGATTGTGTGTATTGTTGTGAATTGTTAGATATTACTGCACTGTTGGAGCTAGAAACACAAGCGTTTCGCTACACCCGCATGTGTATGTGACCAATACAATTTGATTTGATTTGCAGAGGATAAGTTCATTAGAGTTAACTGCACCTCAGATTGCAGCCCAAATAAATGCTTCACAGAGTTCAAGTAACCGACACATCTCAACATCAACTGTTCAGAGGAGACTGCGTGAATCAGGCCTTTCTGGTCGAATTGCTGCAAAGAAACCACTACTAAAGGACACCAATAAGAAGAAGAGACTTGCTTGGGCCAAGAAACACGATCAATGGACATTAGACCGGTGGAAATCTGTTCTTTGGTCTGATGAGTCCAAATTTGAGATTTTTTTGTTCCAACCGCCATGTCTTTGTGAGACGCCGAGTAGGTGAACGGATGATCTACGCATGTGTGGTTCCCACCGTGAAGCATGGCTGTTACTTCTTTGACCGAGAAGGAGAGTGATGGAGTGGTGCATCAGATGACCTGGCCTCCACAATCACCCGACCTCAACCCAATTGAGATGGTTTGGGATGAGTTGGACCGCAGAGTGAAGGAAAAGCAGCCAACAAGTGCTCAGCATATGTGGGAACTCCTTCAAGGTTTGGAAAAGCATTCCAGGTGAAGCTGGTTGAGAGAATGCCAAGAGTGTGCAAAGTTGTCACCAAGGCAAAGGGTGGCTACTTTGAATTATCTCAAATCTAAACTATATTTTGATTTGTTTAACACAGTTTTGGTTACTACATGATTCCATATGTGTTATTTCATAGTTTTGATGTCTTCACTATTATTCTACAATGTAGAAAATACTAAAAATAAAGAAAAACCCTTGAATGAGTAGGTGTGTCCAAACCTTTGTCTGGTACTGTAAATCGGCTTGAAAGTCTATGGCAAGACTTGAAAATGGCTGTCTAGCAATGATCAACAACCAACTTGACAGAGCTTGAAGAATTGTAAAAATAATAATGTGCAAATATTGTACAATCCAGGTCTGCAAAGCTCTTAGAGACTTACCCAGAAAGACTCTTAGCTGTAATCGCTGCCAAATGTAATTCGAACATGTATTGACTCAGGGGTGTGAATACTAATGTAAATGAGATATTTTTGTATTTCATTTTCAATACATTTGCTAAAATTTCTAAAGACATGTTTTCACTTTGTCATTATGGGGTACTGTGTGTAGATGGATGAGAAAAAAATATATGTAATCCATTTTGAATTCAGGCTGTAACACAACAAAATGTGTAATACGTCAAGGGGTATGAATACTTTCTGAAGGCACTGTATATATTTATTTGTATTTTTTATTGTTGGACATGAGACTGTGAAAACACCAGCAAATCAGCTCCAAGTGATTTTAATTTAGGAAATCTGTTCCAAAGTATTCCCACGTATAATAGAGCGATATACACTGAGTGTACAAAATATTAGGAACACCTTCCAAATATTGAGTTGCACCCCCTTTTGCCCTCAGAACAGCCTCAATTTGTCGGGGCATGGACTAGAAAGCGTTCCACAGGGATGTTGGCCTATGTTGACTCCAATGCTTCCCACTGTTGTCAAGTTCGCTGGATGTCCTTTGGATGGTGGACCATTCTTGATACAGGCGGGAAACTGTTGAGCGTGAAAAACCCAGCAGCGGTGCAGTTCTGGACACACTCAAACCGGTGTGCCTGGCACATACTACCATACCCCGTTCAAAGGCACTTACATTTTATTTTCTTGCCCATTCATCCTCTGAATGGCACACATACACAATCCATATCTCAATTATCTCAAGGCTTAAAATTCCTTCTTTAACCTGTCTCCTCCCTTTCATCTACACTGATTTAAAGTGGATGTAACAGGTGACATCAATAAGGGATCATAGCTTTCACCTGGTCAGTCTATGTAATGGAAAGAGCAGGTGTTCCTAATGTTTTGTACACTCAGTGTATGTGATCGTATACAAATGTAAGCAAGGTTTGAAATTGTTATGTTTTAGTCAAATATTATATCTGTTTGCAGTCAATTTGCGGTCTACAAATTACTTGTAATTATGTTCCGGCCCCCTGACAATCTGCTCAAGAAAAAATCGGGCCGCGGCTGAATCTAGTTGATGATCCTGCTTTAAAGTGTGAAGATTCAAGATTAATAAATAGGATAAAAACTAGAATTGACTTGGCATCGGTTGTGTGTGCTATATTTGTCTAATTTAGACGTATTTAGACCAGGCAGTGGTATAAACACCTCATCACCCCTGAAGCTGGTGATTACAGGTGTGGTTGGTTAAGTCAGGCTGCTGTAAATAGATGTGGTGAGTGTAAATTCCAGGTGAATCCAGGTAAATAGTTATTAGGTTTAGCAGGTTGGATTCCATGACTAAACATTCTGTTTTTAGGCCAGTTCCTAACTTGAGATGCGACTCCAGCCCTCTCATAAATCTCCCACTGATATCACTCCCTGTGTTATGATAATTGGTTGTTGAGTGTATTGTTGGTCGCTGCGGTCTACAAATTACTTGTAATTATGTTCCGGCCCCCTGACAATCTGCTCAAGAAAAAATCGGCCCGCGGCTGAATCTAGTTGATGATCCTGCTTTAAAGTGTGAAGATTCAAGATTAATAAATAGGATAAAAACTAGAATTGACTTGGCATCGGTTGTGTGTGGTATATTTGTCTAATTTAGACGTATTTAGACCAGGCAGTGGTATAAACACCTCATCACCCCTGAAGCTGGTGATTACAGGTGTGGTTGGTTAAGTCAGGCTGCTGTAAATAGATGTGGTGAGTGTAAATTCCAGGTGAATCCAGGTAAATAGTTATTAGGTTTAGCAGGTTGGATTCCATGACTAAACATTCTGTTTTTAGGCCAGTTCCTAACTTGAGATGCGACTCCAGCCCTCTCGTAAATCTCCCACTGATATCACTCCCTGTGTTATGATAATTGGTTGTTGAGTGTATTGTTGGTCGCTGTGGCTTTGCAGGAGGCTACTTCTGTATCCCTTCCATCTCTTATACATTCAAAAACGTGTTTTTCTGCATGTTTCTTCATTTTACTCATAACTGTGTATTTACATAACCAGTTTTGTTTGTTACTTTTTTCCTGCTGTTGTGTGTAATCTGTTTATTTTCCCCTCTGTGTCATGTTCCCCAAAACTCCCAGTCTTACCCCAACAAACTGACGCTTGACCGTTCTGTGTGGGAACTTGCATGTGTGTGTTATTAATGTGTGTGCGATAGGGAGAGGGTCTGGTCTGGTCCTGTGCCACGCTCTCCTCCGGGTTCCGTAAGTCTGTTTGTTTTCAGATGTGGTCCTTAACAATACCCTCCACTCCCCACACAGACCCTATCACACACACACTCTGCTATGAGCGAGCTGAGAAAACAACCCACAGCCATAACAGGAGCTGGAACAGTGGCCTGCTCTATAGGAAAAAAGTGCTCTCACATCCTGGGCTCCTGCCTCTCTCCATACTGTCCTTTATAGATTACATGAAAGTCCCCAAAATGTCCGGAAAACAACACTTTATGCAACACTCATGCATTGTTAATTCAATTTTGCTCTTGAGAAAACAGAGAGAAATACACCTTTGATGTATAAAATAATAAATATTTCCATCTGTCCCCTAGATACTGGTGAAGAAAGGCCTTTGTGTTGTTGCTTCACTGCTGGGGGTTGAACAAAGGAGGGGGGAGAACTTTCCTTATGACTCTGTTAGACACTGAGGGGTGGCCAGTCCCCTTCTGGCTGTGCCGGGTGGAGATTATAACAGTACATTTTTCAAATAATAATCACAGTGGTTGTAGAGGTTGCAACAGGTCAGTACATCAGGAGTAAATGTCACTTGGCTTTTCATAGCCGGGCATTTAGAGGTTGAAATAGCGGTTGAAATAGCAGGTGCGGTAGAAAGAGAGAGTTGAAAACAGCAGGTCTGGGACAAGGTAGCACGTCCGGTGAACAGGTCAGGGTTCCATAGCCGCAGGCAGAAGAGTTGAAACTGGAGCAGCAGCACGACCAGGTGGACTGGGGACAGCAAGGAGTCATCAGACTAGGTAGTCCTGAGGCATGGTCCTAGGGCTCAGGTCCTCCGGGAGGGGAGGGAGGAAGAGCGAGAGAATTAGAGGGACCATACTTAAATTCACACAGGACACCAGATAAGACAGGAGAATAACACCAGATATAACAGACTGACCCTAGCCCCCCGGCACATAGACTATTGCAGCATAGATACTGGAGACTGAGACAGGGAGGGTCGGGAGACACTTTGGCCCCGTCCGACGATACCCCCGGACAGGGCCAACCAGGCAGGATATAACCCCACCCACTTTGCCAAAGCACAGCCCCCACACCACCATAGGGATATCAACAGACCACCAACCTACTACCCTGAGACAAGGCTGAGTATAGCCCACAAAGATCTCCTCCACTGCACGAGCCTGAGGGGGCGACAAACCGGACAGGAAGATCATATCAGTGACTCAACCCACTAAAGTGACGCACCCCTCCTAGGGACGGCATGGAAAGCACCAGTAAGCCAGTGACTCAGCCCCCGTAATAGGGTCAGAGGCAGAGAATCCCAATGGAGAGACGGGAACCGGCCAGGCAGAGACAGCAAGGGCGGTTTGTCGCTCTAGTGCCTTTCCGTTCACCTTCGCACCCCTGGGCCAGACTACACTCAATCATAGGACCTACTGTAGAGATGAGTCTTCAGTAAATAATGAAAGGTTGAGACCATTCCATAAAAATGTAGCTCTATAGGAGAAAGCCCTGCCTCCAGCTGTTTGCTTAGAAATTCTAGGGACAATAAGGAGGCCTGCGTCTTGTGACCGTAGCGTACGTTTAGGTATGTACGGCAGGACCAAATCGGAGAGATAGGGAGGAGCAAGCCCATGTAATGCTTTGTAGGTTAGCCTTAACAGGTCAGTCTATTATATCTAGAGAGGATAGCACTTGAGTAATATGATCCAATTTATGGGTTCTAGTCAAGATTCTAGCAGCCGTGTTTAGCACTAACTGAAGTTTATTTAGTGCTTTATCTGGGTAGCTGGAGAGTAGTGCATTGCAGTAGTCTAATCTAGAAGTGACAAAAGCATGGATTAGCTTTTCTGCGTCATTTTTGGACAAAATGTTTCTGATTTTTGCAATGTTACAAAGATGGAAAGAAGCTGTCCTTGAAATATTATTGATATGTTCGTCAAAAGAGAGATCAGGGTCCAGAGTAACGCCGAGGTCCTTCAGTTTCTTTTTTTTTAGACTACTGTACAACTATCAAGATTAATTGTCAGATCCAACAGAAGATCTCATTGTTTCTTGGGACACTAGAACTAGCATCTCTGTTTTGTCAGAGTTTAAAAGTTAAAAAAATTCCGCCATCCACTTCCTTATGTCTGAAACACAGGCTTCCAGGGTAGGCAATTTTGGGGCTTCACCATGTTTCATCGACGTGTACAGCTGTGTGTCGTCCGCATAGCAATGAAAGTTAACATTGTGTTTCCGAATGACATCACCAAGAGGTAAAATATATAGTGAAAACAATAGTGATCCAAAAACGGAACCTTGAGGAACACCGAAACGTACAATTGATTTGTCAGAGGACAAACCGTCCACAGAGACAAACTGATATCTTTCCGACAGATAAGATCTAAACCAGGCAAGAACTTGTCCGCGTAGGCCAATTAAGGTTTCCAATCACTCCAAAAGAATGTTGTTATCGATGGTTTCAAAAGCAGCATTAAGGTCTAGGAGCACGAGGACAGATGCAGTGCCTTGGTCTGACGTCATTAAAATATAATTTACCACCTTCACAAGTGCAGTCTCAGTGCTATGATGGGGTCTAAAAGCAGACTGAAGCGTTTCGTATACATTATTTGTCTTCAGGAAGGCAGTGAGTTGCTGCACAACAGCTTTTTCCCAAAAAATTGAGAGGAATGTGAGATTCTATATAGGCCGATAGTTTTTTACATTTTCTTAATGTAAGAAGAGGGAGAGCGAAATGGCGTGTCCAGAATCCCACTCCTGTCATGGAGGCTGGGCCATGTCTGAAACAGTGACACAGAAGAGAGGAGAGCGAGAACAGAGGGAAGAGAGGCCTGACTAGCAGACAGACAGCAGTGACAGTCTCATTATGTTGCAGAGGGAGCATGTTAATGTCCTACTGTGGGATTGATTGGCTCTCAGCCCAACATGACAGCCATCCAAAATGGCAGACTGCCTGGTTCAGATGAGAGGGATTGCTGCTGGGTTGGGGCGGCTCCGGCCTCCGGGTACAGGTTGTCCTTGGGCACAGATTGCAAAACTGACCATAGATCAGCGCCTAGGGACAACTTCTTCCTTGGGGAAGCGGATGGGGATTGACCTGAGGAAGTGTGAGAGGTCAGAAGGTCACGTCGGGGTTGTGACTCTGTGTGTTTCTGTATTCGTAGATCCTGGATGAGATTGCAGAGCATGGCATCAGGATCTACCAACTGCCAGACGCTGACTCAGATGAGGATGAAGAGTTCAAGGAGCAGACACGAATACTCAAGGTACGACACACACTGAAAGTCTACCTCCCAAATGGCACCCTACTCCCTATATAATCCACAACTTTTGACCAGAGTTCTAAGGGCCCTAGTCAAAACAAAGTAGTGCACTATAAAGGGAATTTGGGACGTAAGAATACTAACACCAACTAAGAGAAAGAAACTCAAGGAGAAACACCACTACTGAAAGGGACTGGGAGTGACATAGAACCACTCTTGTTATGTAATTTCTCTCTTAACCACTGGGTTTTAGCATGGGTGAGAGTCATACTATTGAAACTAACCCGTTGGTCTTTTGAATGGGCTAGCTTTATGTCAAACATGAAGATCCGGTCATTTTTCCTTACTCTAGTACACGTGTCAAACTCATTCCATGGTTGGCCGAGTGTCTGTGGATTTTTGTTCCTCCCTTGTACTTGATTGATTAATTAAGGTCACTGATTAGTAAAGAACTCCCCTCACCTTGTTGTCGAGGTCTTAATTGAAAGGAAAAAAACTAAAAGCAGCAGACACTAGGCCCTGCATGGAATGAGTTTGACACCCCTGCTCTAGTAGATTCCACTCCTCATCTTCAATAACCATCAATCTCCTGTTCTCTTCTCCACCTATCTCTCCTTCCCTGATCCCTATATCTCTACATCCCTCTGTTTTCACACTCCACCCATCTCTGTATCCTCTTTCTCTCCCCTTGTCTTCCTTTCCCTTGCATCCATGTCTCTCTACTCCTCCCCCTCTGTCTCCCTCTATCAGGCGAGCATTCCGTTTGCTGTGATTGGTTCAAACCAGCTGATTGAGGTGAAAGGAAAGAAGATCAGAGGTCGTCTCTACCCCTGGGGGGTCGTAGAGGTGGAGAACCCCGATCACAACGACTTCCTCAAACTACGCACCATGCTTGTGTAAGTAACCACGACAACGCAATGCAACTTTTGTTAACAAACCAATTAATCAAATGTAAGAAAAGCTAGCCTTTAACAGCTCTACTACTACTTAGAGTAAATGTAATAGTAATCTATGCATGCTCTTATCCCATACTTCCCTTGGATATGTATTACTATACTGCCACCTAGTGGTTGAATAGAGAACTCCAAGTCTGTCCACCTGTTGCTTAGTCTAGTAGTCTAGTCTAGTGGCTGTTATGGGGATTTGCACAAGCCGAATAGTGATATTGAAATGTGTGATGGTTGTCTGTTTCCAGCACCCACATGCAGGACCTCCAGGAGGTCACTCAGGACCTGCACTATGAGAACTTCCGCTCAGAGAGACTGAAGAGAGCTGGCAGGTCAGTCTCCTGTCTGCAGTGTGTTTCTCACACACACACACACACACAAACACACACACACACTCTATCTGGGCTGAGACTACTTAGACAATCTACAGTACGGTAGTTAATGTTCCCTTATACGTTCCCTACAGAGCTGGGGAGGAGGATGTGATGGACAAAGACCAGATTCTCCTGCAGAAGGAGGCTGAGGTGAGTAGCTACTGCAGCACTGGATGCTCTCATAGTGTTAACTAGGTCCTAGGTAATAAATGAAGGGCAATGGCGTTAGTCTCTACCAGGGATGAAAGTAGATTTAATTTCTTCCTGGTAAGGGACCTCCTATGTGAAAACATTTTATGGGCCTAATCATAGAATTACATAGAATCCCTATTAATTCAATAGGATCTCTGTGGGCCTAGTCGTACAGATTTGTCATTTAACTTTTAAAATGTATGACCTTTTATTGTGGCATAAACACAACCAGTCTTGATGTTGTCATCTGATTGTCAAACAATCACTTCAAAGGGCTCCTTTAGGGGAGAGTGGGGTAAGTTGAGCGATTTAAAAAAAATTATTCAGCATCAACTCCGTCAAGGGAATATAGTATTCTTTCTAACAAAGATATCTACATATATTTCAGGATGTTGTGTATCCCTGGAAATAATCAGAATTCATGTCAACATTACAGTTTAGAAAACATAGCTTGTACAAAAAAAGTGGTCTCTTGGCACAACTTACCCAGGTTAAGCCGCCTACAAATTTCTGTACGGAATGAAATATTACCACTACCTTTTTAAAACCATGTCTATCTTTATTTCCCAAACAATCACAATCGCTTTTTTGTCTTTTAACCATTTTAAGCATATTTTAAACAGGCTTAACACCTAACAAACACTTTGTCCTTTTTTAAACACTCATAACATAGGCCAGGGCCTGTTTTTACTTCAAATCCCAGCGATGATGCCTTGCAAGAAAACACTTCAATTTGCTCAACTTGCCATTGACTCAACATTTTGACTAAATTAGCACACACAGCTACAAAGATGCACTTTCATGCTAGGTTTAGGACCTCATATTAAATATTATAGAGACCCCAACTGATGTATAGAACAATCTTAAAATGATCTACTTAAATATTTGGTCAAATTATACATTTTGTGTATGGTTTCCTAGAAACAAGGGGGGCTCAACTTACTCCTTTGGCTTAACTTACCCCACTCTCCCATACTAGGCTACCTGAGCATGTTCATCCACTCGCAACATATTTCCAGCCTCCAAACTTGGAGAATGGAAAGAGAGATCTGTTATACAAAACAACAAAAAGTGTAATAACATTCAGCTATTGTCATTAGGCGTCCACTGCTGTCTGCGCGCGTCTGTGTCGGCCACTCATCTCTGCCTTGGCAAAATATCAGTGTTCGCATCAAACCACATCGCATTTTGGAGCGTATACCACCCATTTTCAAGACAATTTGCACATTTTTCATGCCTCTGACATGGTAATGATAAATAATGGTGTAATAGCCTACAGTTTTCTTGGCATTTCATTTTAATTATTGTGATAATCTGATGTTTTACCGGTATGGCGTACCCCCACTATTTATTTTGCTGGGACCGTACTGGCTTACTTTCACCCCTGGCCTCTACCCTTTTTGGCCATCTTGGTTTACATTGTTTACATTCTAAACTGTGGAGCCAGTAATTTGTCAGAAAATAATAAATGACCCTCTTCTTCCTGATTGCCTCTGATTGGCCTGTTTGTATTCCCATGGTGATGTATAGAGAGATCAGGGTGAGGTGGGGTTGGGTGCAATTAGAGTTGTTAGTAAACATGTACAGCGCCTTCGGAAAGTATTCAGACCCCTTGACTTTTTCCACATTTTATGACGTTACAGCCTTATTATAAAATGTATTAAATAAATCAAAATCCTCAGTAATCTACACACAATACCCCATAATGACAAAGCGAAAACAGGTTTTTAGATTTTTTAGCAAATGTATAACAAATAAAAAACATATACCTTATTTACGTAAGTATTCAGACCCTTTTCTATGAGACTCGAAATTGAGCTCAGGTGCATCCTGTTTCCATTGATCATCCTTGAGATGTTTATACAACTTGATTGGAGTACACCTGTGGTAAATTCAATTGATTGGACATGATTTGGAAAGGCACACACCTGTCTATGTAAGGTCCTACAGTTGACAGTGCATGTCAGAGAAAAAAACAAGCCATAAGGTCGAAGGAATTGTCCTTAGAGCTCCAAGACAGGATTGTGTTGAGGCACAGATCTGGGAAGTGTACCAAAAAATGTGTTGCAGCATTGAAGGTTCCCAAGAACACAGTGGCCTCCATCGTTCTTAAATTGAAGAAGTTTGGAACCACCAAGACTCTTCCTAGAGCTGGCCGCCCAGCCAAACTGAGCAATCGGGGGAGAAAGGCCTTGGTCAGGGAGGTGACCAAGAACCCGATGGTCACACTGACAGAGCTCTAGAGTTCCTCTGTGGAGATGGGAGAACCTTCCAGAAGGACAACCATCTCTGCAGCACTCCACCAATCAGGCCTTTATGGTAGAGTGGCCAGACGGAAGCCACTCCTCAGTAAAAGGCACATGACAGCCTGCTTGTAGTTTGCCAACAGGCACCTAAAGACTCTCAGACCATGAGAAACCAGATTCTCTGGTCTGATGAAACCAGATTCAACTCTTTGGCCTGAATGCAAAGCATCATGTCTGGTGGAAACATGGCACCATCCCTACGGTGAAGCATGGTGGTGGCAGCATCATGCTGTGGGTATGTTTTTCAGCGACAAGGGACTGGGAGACTAGTCAGGATCGAGGGAAAGATGAACGGAGCAAAGTACAGAGAGATCCTTGATGAAAACCTGCTCCAGAGCGCTCAGGACCTCAGACTAGGGCGAAGGTTCACCTTCCAACAGGACAATGACCCTAAGCACACAGCCAAGACAAGGCAGGTGTGGCTTCGGAACAAGCCTCTGAATGTCCTTGAGTGGCCCAGCCAGAGCCCGGACTTGAACCCGATCGAACATCTCTGGAGAGACCTGAAAATAGCTGTGCAGCAACGCTCCCCTTCCAACCTGACAGAGCTTGAGAGGATCTGCAGAGAAGAATGGGAGAAACTCCACAAATACAGGTGTGCCAAGCTTGTAGCTTCATACCCAAGAAGACTTGAGGCTGTAATCGCTGCCAAAGGTGCTTCAACAAAGTACTGAGTAAAGGGTCTGAATACTGATGTAAATGTGATATTTCATTTTTTTTTTTTTAATAAATTAACAACAATTTCTAAAAACCTGTTTTTGCTTTGTCATTATGGGGTATTGTGTGTAGATTGATGAGGAACATAAAAAAAAGGCTGTAACGTAACAAAATGTGGAAAAGGTCAAGGGGTCTGAATACTTTCCGAAGGCACTGTATGTCTGGACAGGATATTACATAATATCTGACTTCCTGTCCAGTTAAGTGGTGGGAATAAGCCAAGCCAGGCCAGGCGACGTATAGAGTATTGTATACAGGGTGTATACTGGCTGGGCTGCTGGTGGGTGCTGTGTCCTTATGTAAGATCAGTTTGGTTTTGTATAGGGTTGAATGGCGGGAACCCGGTTACTGAAATTTACCGGGATTTACCACCCAAAACCACTCCCTTTTCCTGGGATAAATAAATGCGAGAAACTGGTAAATTATAATAAATTATTTATATGAACAGCATGGCGTGAAATGGTACTGTTAAATGTTTATTTATGTATTTTTTATTTAACCTTTATTTAACTAGGCAAGTCAGTTAAGAACAAATTCTTATTTACAATGGCGGCCTACACCGCCAAACCCGGACGACGCTGGGCCAATTGTGCGCCGCCCTATGGGACTCCCAATCACGGCCGGTTGTGATACAGCCTGGAATCGAACCAGGGGGTCTGTAGTGACGCCTCAAGCACTGAGATGCAGGTGCCCTAGACCGCTGCGCCACTCGGGAGCCCATACATGCAATGTCTAAATCTGGCTTCTCTACGGCCTTCTCTCTGCTCTCTGCATGATGAATCATCAAAGCTCAGGGTGGGGACAGAAAGCCCATCTCAGTATGGAGCGCAGTTCACAATGCATGTAGACCTACAGTGGGGGAAAAAAGTATTTAGTCAGCCACCAATTGTGCAAGTTCTCCCACTTAAAAAGATGAGAGAGGCCTGTCATTTTCATCATAGGTACACGTCAACTATGACAGACAAATTGAGAAGAAAAAAATCCAGAAAATCACATTGTAGGATTTTTAATGAATTTATTTGCAAATTATGGTGGAAAATAAGTATTTGGTCACCTACAAACAAGCAAGATTTCTGGCTCTCACAGACCTGTAACTTCTTCTTTAAGAGGCTCCTCTGTCCTCCACTCGTTACCTGTATTAATGGCACCTGTTTGAACTTGTTATCAGTATAAAAGACACCTGTCCACAACCTCAAACAGTCACACTCCAAACTCCACTATGGCCAAGACCAAAGAGCTGTCAAAGGACACCAGAAACAAATTTGTAGACCTGCACCAGGCTGGGAAGACTGAATCTGCAATAGGTAAGCAGCTTGGTTTGAAGAAATCAACTGTGGGAGCAATTATTAGGAAATGGAAGACATACAAGACCACTGATAATCTCCCTCGATCTGGGGCTCCACGCAAGATCTCACCCCGTGGGGTCAAAATGATCACAAGAACGGTGAGCAAAAATCCCAGAACCACACGGGGGGGACCTAGTGAATGACCTGCAGAGAGCTGGGACCAAAGTAACAAAGCCTACCATGAGTAACACACTACGCCGCCAGGGACTCAAATCCTGCAGTGCGAGACGTGTCCCCCTGCTTAAGCCAGTACATGTCCAGGCCCGTCTGAAGTTTGCTAGAGTGCATTTGGATGATCCAGAAGAGGATTGGGAGAATGTCATATGGTCAGATGAAACCAAAATATAACTTTTTGGTAAAAACTCAACTCGTCGTGTTTGGAGGACAAAGAATGCTGAGTTGCATCCAAAGAACACCATACCTACTGTGAAGCATGGGGGTGGAAACATCATGCTTTGGGGCTGTTTTTCTGCAAAGGGACCAGGACGACTGATCCGTGTAAAGGAAAGAATGAATGGGGCCATGTATCGTGAGATTTTGAGTGAAAACCTCCTTCCATCAGCAAGGGCATTGAAGATGAAACGTGGCTGGGTCTTTCAGCATGACAATGATCCCAAACACCCCGCCCGGGCAACGAAGGAGAGGCTTCGTAAAAAGCATTTCAAGGTCCTGGAGTGGCCTAGCCAGTCTCCAGATCTCAACCCCATAGAAAATCTTTGGAGGGAGTTGAAAGTCCGTGTTGCCCAGCGACAGCCCCAAAACATCACTGCTCTAGAGGAGATCTGCATGGAGGAATGGGCCAAAATACCAGCAACAGTGTGTGAAAACCTTGTGAAGACTTACAGAAAACGTTTGACCTGTGTCATTGCCAACAAAGGGTATATAACAAAGTATTGAGAAACTTTTGTTATTGACCAAATACTTATTTTCCACCATAATTTGCAAATAAATTCATTAAAATCCTACAATGTGATTTTCTGGATTTTTTTTTCTCATTTTGTCTGTCATAGTTGATGTACATTTACATTTACATTTTAGTCATTTAGCAGACGCTCTTAACCAGAGCGACTTACAGGAGCAATTAGGGTTAAGTGCCTTGCTCAAGGGCACATTAACGTCATTTAGCAGACGCTCTTAGCCAGAGCGACTCACAAATTGGTGCGTTCACCCTATAGCCAGTGGGATAACCACTTTACAATTTGGGGGGGGGGGGGGGGGGGGGGGGGGGGGGGGGGGGGTTAGAAGGAATACTTTATCCTATCCCAGGTATTCCTTAAAGAGGTGGGGTTTCAAATGTCTCCGGAAGGTGGTGAGTGACTCCGCTGTCCTGGCGTCGTGAGGGAGCTTGTTCCACCATTGGGGTGCCAGAGCAGCGAACAGTTTTGACTGGGCTGAGCGGGAGCTATGCTTCCGCAGAGGAAGGGGAGCCAGCAGGCCAGAGGTGGATGAACGCAATGTCCTCGTTTGGGTGTAGGGACTGATCAGAGCCTGAAGGTACAGAGGTGCCGTTCCCCTCACTGCTCCATAGGCAAGCACCATGGTCTTGTAGCGGATGCGAGCTTCAACTGGAAGCCAGTGGAGTGTGCGGAGGAGGGGGGTGACGTGAGAGAACTTGGGAAGGTTGAACACCAGACGGGCTGCGGCATTCTGGATGAGTTGTAGGGGTTTAATGGCACAGGCAGGGAGCCCAGCCAACAGCGAGTTGCAGTAGTCCAGACGGGAGATGACAAGTGCCTGGACCAGGACCTGCGCCGCTTCCTGTGTAAGGCAGGGTCGCACTCTCCGAATGTTGTAGAGCATGAACCTGCAGGAGCGGGTCACTGCCTTGATGTTGGCGGAGAACGACAGGGTGTTGTCCAGGGTCACGCCTAGGCTCTTCGCACTCTGGGAGGAGGACACAGCGGAGTTGTCAACCGTGATGGCGAGATCATGGAACGGGAAGTCCTTCCCCGGGAGGAAGAGCAGCTCCGTCTTGCCAGGGTTCAGCTTGAGGTGGTGATCCGTCATCCATACTGATATGTCTGCCAGACATGCAGAGATGCGATTCGCCACCTGGTTATCAGAAGGGGGAAAGGAGAAGATTAGTTGTGTATCGTCAGCGTAGCAATGATAGGAAAGGCCATGTGAGGATATGACAGAGCCAAGTGACTTGGTGTATAGGGAGAAAAGGAGAGGGCCCAGAACCGATCCCTGGGGGACACCAGTGGTGAGAGCACGTGGTGCGGAGACAGCTTCCCGCCACGCCACTTGGTAGGAGCGACCGGTCAGGTAGGACGCAATCCAGGAGTGAGCCGCGCCGGAGATGCCCATCTCGGAGAGGGTGGAGAGGAGGATCTGATGGTTCACAGTATCAAAGGCAGCAGACAGGTCTAGAAGGACAAGAGCAGAGGAGAGAGAGTTAGCTTTAGCAGTGCGGAGAGTCTCCGTGACACAGAGAAGAGCAGTCTCAGTTGAATGACCAGTCCTGAAACCTGATTGGTTTGGATCAAGAAGGTCATTCTGAGAGAGATAGCAAGAGAGTTGGCTAAAGACGGCACGCTCAATAGTTTTGGAAAGAAAAGAAAGAAGGGATACTGGTCTGTAGTTGTTGACATCAGTGGGGTCGAGTGTTGGTTTTTTGAGAAGGGGAGTAACTCTCGCTCTCTTGAAGACGGAAGGGACATGGCCAGCGGTCAAGGATGAGTTGATCAGCGAGGTGAGGTAGGGGAGAAGGTCACCGGAGATGGTCTGGAGAAGGGAGGAGGGGATGGGGTCAAGCGGGCAGGTTGTTGGGCGGCCTGCAGTCACAAGTCGCAGGATTTTATCTGGAGAGAGAGTTACTGTGCCTATGATGAAAATTACAGGCCTCTCTCATCTTTTTAAGTGGGAGAACTTGCACAATTGGTGGCTGACTAAATACTTTTTTTCCCCACTGTATCATCTCATCATGGTAACTTTTTTTATTGTGACAGGTAGGCCTGCATTTGCTGCAGCATAGTCTATGCTACAGCGTCTAATTTGCCCATCTCCATCTGGCTTTCGTGGGTCCCCTTATTTTTTTATTGTAAAGAAATATAGATATTTTTTGCAGCTGCAGAGTTTTAAAACAGCCTGTCGCTCGAATATCGTTGCTTTAAATCTCTCTCTCCATCAGCTCCATGCAAATTGCATCCAAAATAGATGTTCTAGATTGATATATAGCCCTAACCAACCTCTTTCAGGAAATAAATTCAATGCATAATTAGTTTGTATTTAGCTAATTAATGATGGGTTATGCATGATAAGCTTCTAACTTATAGCCTCTGTCTCTTGCGCAATACCCACGCACCTGTGCTCCGCTGGCTTCTCTCCTTAAAAAACACTCATCAACTCTTGGAGTCCCATGCAGGAAAAGCTAGACTAGAGTAGGTTGCTGGACATTATTTTTTTAGGATTTGTTATACCAACAGACTATTCGAAGAGGGACGCAAGCTCTTGTTTGCTGAATGTTAAATACAGCAGCCAATAGAACTCACTGGTAGATTGAAAGAAGAGCGAATGCGCGATGGCGTTAGGCTATAGTAGTTATTTATTCAGACCCATAACCATTAAATCTTTGTGAATAGAAGTGAAAGCCTTCTGCATCTAATTCTAGTCCTATATTATTCAAGGATGTCATTAGAATGATGAAGATAAGGACAACAAAACGTATTTCATTTAACTGTTGAAAGCGAGGAAGGAATGAAGCAACAATAGAGAGAGAAAGAGGAGGTAGGCTAATAACATTAGGGGAAATATTATGAAAGGTATATATGCGTCAGCCTACTAATTATACAAATAGGCCCTATTATATTTCAAAATTCTAATCAAATTCACTAGCCTATACTTGTAACTATGTAGGCCGCATGTGCAGCACCAGAATCACATGTTCTCTCCGTGCTTTATCATGGTTTGAACGATGTGCGTAATTACAGTCCATATAATACAGTATAATACAATACAGTACAGTAATACAGTTCACACTAATAAAGATTAGCCTACTGGAGCTAGTTTCATTTATTTACCCAAGAGAGGATATATGTAGCCTGGCAAAAGTAAACCCAGCACAGTACACAAACTAATTTGGGGTTGTTTATTCTGTCAAAGCTTAAATTTAAAATAGGATAATGTAGGAGGGAAATGCACTTTACCATAAAGTAAAGTTCAGTCTAAATCACAATAAAGTGAAATAAAAAAGTGCATAAAAACAATCTGAATACAATAAGTACAAAGTATAATGCATAAATGGTAGTGGCTCTGCTTTAAACACACTGTGCACGCGATACCCTAACCCCACATGGAACAGTAGATCCTCATCTCACCCATACAGCAGCTTCAAATAATGTTATCAACTTCAACATGGTTCTGAGAGCACTGGTATTCAGCTAGCAAGAGGCTAACATCCTCATGTCAATCCATCTAAAGTAACGCTGGACCCACGATGGATTTCAACAGCTCTCCAGTGTAATTGCTTGCTCTCACTCTTACACACTGAGCATGCACAATCCCATAACTGCTTGCACACATTATTTATGGATATCTTAAAGGGACAGTGCCATCTAATGGATCAAATGAATACTGCTAGCTACATCTATGGGCTTTTATGTTTTTCTGTCGTGCATTATGTGCAGTAGCCTATATCATATATGTTTTGGATAACAGCACAATCATTTGGGCTTTTCTGGGCTTGGGCTCATTAAATGTATTTCATGTATGGCTCAGGTAGCATCAGGCTTGAATTTTCGATCAAAGCTCTAATCAAATCCAGGCCTATTTATATGCTTTATAATGCTTTTGAATGACACTTCCGGCTTTGCGGGAAATACCAGGTTACCCGGGAGGAAAGTGATTTATTCTCGGGATGGAACATTTGTAAAATACCACAAATATTCAACCCTAGTTTTGTACACTATGTGTATAAAGTTTATGTTCAATAACTGATGTTATTTTTGGTATTTTTATCAAGAGGTTTTCAGTCAAACAGAAAAATATTATTTAGACATTCGAACATTGTTTGCTGAATTCAGAAGACCCTTAAAGTGTTTGTACTTGTATATAGGGGTGTAGTTATTAACACTAATCCCAAATTGGGGATGTAACCCTTTAGGCAGAGTCACAGACCCACATTCCTATAGCAAAGCAGCTTGGGATACCAGATCAGTTTAGCAAAGTGTTACGTTTGATCGCATTCCTTCAGTTTGCAACACACAGGGTTCTATAGAGTACAATCCTGATTTAGTGTAGATTTAAATATGAATGTAAATCTATTATTCAGTCACACGCCACTACCCAAGTGTGAAAATGAGTAGGTGTCCATTTGACCCCAATTGGGTGAAGTCAAATCACCCACTTGAAGTCCTATCCACGACCACTAGATGGAGATAGAAAAAAATTGATTTGTGGCTCATTGTATTATCTTTTTACAATGGATACAATTTGTCATGTTTGGAAAGGCTGATAGCCTCTGGTATTTGTTTTACTCAACTATCTCTTTCCCTCTTTCTGTCTGTTTCCTTCACTTCTCTCTTTAGCTGAGGCGTATGCAGGAGATGATTTCCCAGATGCAGGCACAGATGAAGATGAAGGGAGACGAGTGAAAAGAGAGGGATTGAAAGAGGGAGTGGGCGAAGAGATGCATCTGCATCTCCATCATGGACGTACTGCTGGACACACACATCACCCCCTATCCCTCAGTGTGTCAGTCAATCAATCAAGCAATCAACCAACCAATTGGAAGTTCTCCTCACTAACCTCATTTTAATGATAAAATCTTCAATATGGCCTCTATTTCACCATGGTACTGAGATCCACTGATCTGCGAGTCTGTGTTTTGGGAACTGTTACTCACGTTGTAACACGTTTCATACTGAGGTATGTTTGTCCGGAGTGTTATCCTTTATTGTGTAATGTTATGATATGGGTTATGATATAATGTTAAGGCATACTGTAAAGACAATAATTCCATGTTCTCCCAATAGGTGACTAAAGATGATGTCTATTTGTTTTCATCAGTACTAGTATTCTGTCTCATGTACAATGTAGATCTTGCATTGATAACAGTACTAATACATCTCAGTAATTAGACAACAATAAGACTTCAGTGTTTATGAAATATTAGGGGAATGTTTTGAGTATCTTCAAGTGGCTATCAGAAGTTGAAACAATAGCAAAGCTTTCACCCCACCATTGTTACGGTAAAAAGCTAGGGGATAGGACTGGAGAAATGTAACCACTCAAATTCAAAGACAGAGCTATGGATGCAAGGACTGACCATCCATTATATAAAAATAATAGTTTTAACCATGTTTTTTGGCTATACCGTGTTTACATTTACTTTGTTTACAAACATTGGAGTAAAAAAAAGTTATATTTTGGTTTCTGATGGGGTATGACAGTTGAGCTTTGCTCATGAGGAATTTATAAGTCCAAAAATGGCAGTAGCAACTGCTGATTGCACCTTTAAGGGAAGGTTTGTTGAGGGCTGGATGTTGTGTTTGTGCCATTTGCAACCTGTCTTTGTCTTCACATTTGGAGCACAGCTGAGGATGTCAGTCCAAGCTGTAGGTGTAGTAATAAGAGTGACCCTCAGGTGGCGCTGTAGTCTGTTCAACAGCACAACACATGGAAAATAACTATAAGGGTAATATAGGCATGTGTGGAAGTATCCCACAGTCTCACATCACATTTGGTCTATATTATAAAATATGTATGTTTTTTTTTGTATTTTTTTAGTCATTTAGCAGACTTATCCAGAGCAACTGAGTGAGTGCATACATTTTTTATTTTTCATACTGGCCCCCCGTGGGAATCGAACCCACAACCCTGGCGTCGCAAACGCCATGCTCTACCAACTGAGCTACATCCCTGCCGGCCATTCCCTCCCCTACCCTGGGCCAATTGTGCGCTGCCCCATGGGTCTCCCGGTCGCAGTCGGCTACGACAGAGCCTGGATTCGAACCAGGATCTCTAGTGGCACAGCTACTCGGGAGAGTAACTTAACTTTGTCTGTAACTTAACTTTGTCTGTGCCTCTGTTGTATTGGATGGAGACCAGTGGAGGCTGGAGGGAGGAGCTATAGGAGGACGGGCTCATTGTAATGGCTGGAATGGAATTAATGGAACTGAGTCAAACATGGTTTCCATATGTTTGATGTGTTTGATATAGTTCCATTTATTCCATTCCAGCCATTACAATGAGCCCATCCTCCTATAGCTCCTCCCACCAGCCTCCACCGATGGAGACAGTTTGCCTTGGTCTCTCTGGGTCAGTCTCCTCAGACAAGGTTTTACTGAGCTGAATTCCTCACCATGTAATCTTATAACTCAAGTATCAACAGCAGAAGGCTGTTGGTGGTGTTATTATAGAGGGAATATTTGTCCTTGTGTTTGAGGAATGCTCTGAAATGACTTGATAGCTAAAATATATATGTGTCAAATGGGTGGACATACTGTATGGAATAGATGTTGGTGCATTCAAGATGCAACTGATGAAATGCTTGTTAAGTGATCATGTTAATTCAAGTGTTTTCAAACCATGCACAACCATGTGTTGGTTAATATGCTTTTTGTATCTCCTAAGACGTGCACTAAAAAACCTTACATCACCTTTTGTCTTTATTAGTTACATTACACCATGAGCAGTCTTAGTGTAGATATCTGTGTGTTTTTGTTTATTTGGTCATGTTCTTTTGGGTTTTCCTAAAGGGGGTTTTCATTTTATCACAATGATTTACTGTATGCACAGACGTTACTCTTCTGATATTGGCTAGCTCCATGGAACTTACAGTATTGAACAGAATTCCATTCTCTGAATTCCTAACTATATTCTGATTCACTATGTCTGCCAGCCCACTTTCTAGGCTACTGACTGTCATACAGTGAACACACTAACGCCTCTCTGTGTTCAGCAACAGATTTGTATATGTGAACCCTGGAGGCAATAACCAAGTCTTTCCCAAACTCGGTCCTGGGGACCCCAAGGGGTGCATGTTTTGGTTTTTGCCCTAGCACTACACAGCTGATTTAAATAATCAACTCATCAAGCTTTAATTATTTGAATCAGCTTTGTAGTGCTAGGGCAAAAAACAAAATGTGCACTCCTTAGGACTTAATTTGGGAAACTGTATTAACCTAACTGTGCTTGAGACCTTTTTTTTGTAGTGTTTCAACTTTTGTACACTTTTCTAGTAGGAGTGCTTTGTTCACAGGTATGATGATGAGCATTTGAGGGGCCATGTAGAAAAACAAAGGCAATGGGATTGAGGTTTCAGTTGCCAGGCCTTCTAGACCTCTATCAAATTGAAAACACTAGATAAGAAGCTGCTGTGGAGGTTGGTGTAGCAATGTTGCTAAAAGGTGATAAGCTGATAATATCACACAATGATGCATGGATAGGAAGCATGACACAGTCTTATTCCCTTACACACGTCTGTTGAACAATGAATGTTTCAAACATATGAGTGAGAAGTTTGAACAGCATTAATTATGGAAGCTGCATGCAATATTGATGATATGGACAAGATCCTAGGAAACCTCTCTACATCCACGATTGGGTACCAGATAGAGGAGGGCGGGGTTCTGCACGATATTGCAACACCCTCTCCCACAGCCTGTTTGGCTGCTGTGGTAGCGCGGAGAAGGAAGGGACGCGTGCGTTTACCGAGCAGTCTGTCCGGTTCTCAAGCGACACCGAGGGGAGGAGAGTGGCGAAAATGACGACCAACATCCGATACAAGAGCCGTATCCCGATCAAATCGGGTAAGGATAATAATGACGATTATGCATAAAGGCAATTATAACGCGGTCCATTTCAATGACTGTCTTTCTCTGTCGGTATCTCTCGCCTTCTAATTCTCTATGGGCGTCGTTCTGCATCCCTCCACCTGTGTTTCATCCCCCCATCCGCCACAATGACCAACAGACGAGACCATTGAGGTAAGGAACCCGTTAATTCCTATTTCTATAAGTATTTTTTTAAATACAAAATTTATTTGCTCAACGCTTTTGATGTAGGTCTAGGCTATGTTAGGCGATACATATAATCATATTTCATATCAAGCATGGTAGCTTAGAGACACAGTTTTTTCCCCAATTCGCTTAATATGGCCGCATATAGCCTAGATATATTTAGCCTAGATAGCCTATGTAGTAGGCCTTGGCCTAGTAAACGTGAGTGGCATCATCATTCCGATGCCCTAAAGATTACTGTTGTTGTTAGACCACCGCATTACAGGGTACAGTGAGCATCACACAGCCAGAAGGATTCGATGTCATTTATGTATACAGACAGACACAGGATGCACACGCAGCAAGTGGTACCCGAGGGCTCGCCTGTCATCCTCGGGCTTCCATCCATCCTTCCAGGCAAGCGCACTTGGCTGTGTGTGTGTGACAGTGAACTGCTCCTATAGTTATTGGAAAGCCTATTGGTATCAGCGAAATAACCCAGCTGTTAATTATCACAGACTTTAGATCAGTCTCTGTCTGCATCCTCAGTACATCACAACTATATCCCCTCATTGGTTTCCCTCTGTAATCCCGGGGTTGCTTGCAACGCCAGGGTTGTGGGTTCGATTGTCACGGGGGACCAGCATTGGGGGAAAAAGTATGGAAATGTATGCACTCACTACTGTAGGTCTCTCTGGATAAGAGCGTCAGCTAATTGACTAAAATGTAAATCTATTGGTCAGATGAGCTCGATTTTATTGATTCCCTTGAGTGAACCCTGTGTGTGTCCATATGTAGCTCAGGTGGAGCTTGGTGGGGGACCAGCAGCAGACTGTGTCTCAGGTGTACCGATCTCCTCTCTCTCTTTGCTCTGGGGGTGATCACATGATGACAGAAGCTTTAGATGCTGTTCTGTTTGTAGGTTATTACTGGAACCTTGTGTAGCTACATTGTGAGTAAGCAGCATGCAGCAATGGTAACTAAAGGCATGATTTTAGCCGAAGCCTATCTCAGTCAAAGCTAATTGCAGAACATATTGTAAGGCTTCTATATCCAGGCCTTTTTGACAGTATAGTGTTACGGTCTTTCAGAGGCTATGGCTCACATAGGTCCACTGTTCCTTGCTAATTTGTGGTGTTCACACATCCTGCAAGCAAACTAGGCGCAATAATTATTATTGTTTGAGCTGTATGCTGGGTTTGCTGCAGATAGATTTTCAGTAAGCCTGTGAAATCACATGGGCAGCATTGCGGAATGAACCTTGCTTGAAGACCTTGACCTTGATTACTACAGTACAGTTAATACAGTAGCAATAGCCTGTGTGTGGATTTGGAAATGTTCAGCGTGTGTGCATGTCCCCCAAGGAATTTCTTTGATTGTTTTTCCCTGTAAGGACTTTTCTATTTTTTTTATATTGCTGAGATTCTATCATACTGTTTGTACTATGCAAAACTGAGTTGGAGATATTCAAGTAGCATGTATGTTGCCACAGCACACACCCACACACTCTGCCTGACCTGGTTGGGTGCTTAGCGGGAGTGGTTTCATGGATAGTGAGTGGGACTAACCAGTAGTAAGTAAAGTGTGTGTGTGTGTGTCAAAAGGTCTAATAGGGGGTGCTTATATTTGTCCTGTTTCACACATGTACAAGT